ACTGTGTGTAACGAACGAGACGTGTAAAAAATATACCGCGCTCCCATTTAGTGCTGTTGATCAGCTTCACAGGCCAGACGTGCACCGTGTGTGTGCGCGTATGCATGCGTGTGTCCATGTGTTCGAGCTGTTTTAGGGGGCTAAGCCAATCGGATCAATAAATACACGAGCAAACCCGAAGCATGTTACCGGTTTGCAGCATGGCAAGGTGATATGTAGGCATCAGCTGAAGGTATGAGAGCATCCTTGGGAAGCCAACCCTTCTCAAGGTGTCATGGATTGAGGAGTGCCGGGAGCCGCCGCTGCAGCTGGCGCTGCGTAAGCACTTGTGATGCTTATTACGCCGTTACACTATGGCCAGCAGCCCCCATCTCCCGTATGTTAAGGAAAGTCCTGAAATCCGACTTGTTGTGTGGTAAACAGCTTTATCTCAAGTTAATCGACCAGACCTCAGAGCTCCAGGTTAGGAGGCGAGGGTCCCTCCATCCGCGTGTCTACAAATTCGCGCCCCAAATCGCTAATCATTAATCTTTTTAGTGGATCGAATGCACTTTGTGGACCGCGCGCCTTCGCCGAGTTCTTCTGCAAACTTAAACGAAACCCTTAAGACCAAAGCGTTCCCAAATCCCCAGCAGTCCCTTCATAGTTGGATGAAACAACGTACAAATCATCATGTGTTTATGAAGTAGAATGGAATCTGCTGCTATGTGGCCGCTGATGTAAGCCCTTGATGGCTTAGTCATCAAGGGTCAACCTTCCTTCGTTCCGCCTATCCTTCCTGGAATTTCCGTACATGGTCCAAAATGAATTGGATAGATCAGTCTGAGGGCATAGTAGGCTTGACTCCCTGGCATGATGCTTGCATCAATTGGCTGCCTTTGGAGAGCCATACACGCGCGCAAAAAGGAAAAGCTACGGCGCGATTAGAATCATGGCATGAGCGAAGGTTAACGACCTACGGATCCAATCTTAGCGTATGCGCGCCAGACGCCCACGTTTTTGCCGCCAGGTCCGCTAGTTTCCGCAAGCTCAGATTTTTTGCGATTTAAATGTGATTGCTGCCCTCCCCGACGAAGCAAGGGCTGCCGCTCAGCAATACCCCGTACAGCCAGCAGGCGATTGTATTCCTAAGACTTCGGACGGGGATGAGGTGGGCCCACGCGTCACAAAATGAAATGAAATGAGGTAAAAAAAGGGTAATAGCTGATACGTCACCAAAGTTAGGAGCTTTGTAAGCTGTATGATGCCCAACAAGCATCCGATGCGATTCGCGGATCCACGTTCTGCCTTCAAGCAGTTGACTGGGAATGGGCTTGGGGTACAACTATGGTTTGCTATCCTGTCTTCAGGGTTCAGAATAGAGGATAATCACTTTAAAGTACACCATTACCGAAAGAACGCCAACATAGGACCGCACTTGCTTAAACATAGCATCTGCAGTCAGTTAACAAACATGCTCCGGTGCACCGGTAGTGAGCATGCTCAGGCAGCTCAGGCTAATGCCCGGCGGTGCCTCCCGGTGCACCGGTAAATTACGTGCACAGCTTGCTCCACCGTGCTCAGGGCCCTATTCGGTCCCAAACTTTAAGGATTTTCCTCCGCACTCCTCCCCTGCTCTGTGGTCAGTCTGGTTCACTTTCCGGCTGACAGGAAAATTTCCGGGGAGGGCCCCGAAAGGTTATTCAGAGGGTTTCGAACACGACCGAAATTTTTGGGTACCCTGGTGAAGAACCCTGTGGAGGAGGGTAGGATCCGGTCTGGAATTGGGGAAGAGCTCTGTCTGCGGGAGACCACCTTATACTGAATGAATAGGGTTTTACACTGGCCGGGCCACACCACAGTGCAGGGCAGGGCGCGTGTTTACATCTCTTCGTCCGTGTGATGATTGGATGGATGAATGATTGAATGAATGAACGAATGAAAGGGGTGGTTTTACATGCCCCTGGTTCGGGTCGGTTCGGGTGGTGGTACCTTTTTGTTGAACACATGTCGTATGGTCGAGTGCCGGGGGCCCTTAGCAGGGCTGAAGCACAGCGCAAGGCAAGGCGTGTGGATATGTCTGTTTGTCTGAACGAACGAGTGAATGAATTAATAAACGGGGTGTCAAAACTGTGAGCGGCTTGCCATGCAGACACACCTCTGGTTCTGGTCGGTTCGGGTGGTGGTAACTTTTTGTTGAACACACACACACACACACACACACACACACACAAGAAAAAATGACTGTATGAATGAATGAGTACGGAGTACGGTAACAAGGCGTGTGGGGTTCCTGCCACTTCCTGCCCCATGTACGGAATCGAAACCAACACACGAGAGATACTTGTAAGTGCTTCCCTTACAGGGTCTCATAAAGTTCCTTCAACTCCCGCGATTCTGTATGCCTGCCTGAGAGTTTCGGGGCAGACCCTGCAATTGGTCTAAATTGCTCGGTAGAAGGGTTGAAATTGGCACGGGGTCTACACCTGGGACAAGTTGAATTGCCGGGACAGGCCCTTGAATTGGCCTGACAGGGACACGAATTGGCCTGGCAGGGACATTCCGACAGTCAGAATTGGCCTGTTCGGGGTGTCGAATTAGGGAAGCACAGGAATTGTGCGACCGGGGCAGTCCAAAGAATTGCTCTCCCCGACCTTGTGCCCTACCCTCTTGTCGTGGTCAGCGCAAGACCGGGTAGCGCCTTTCATAAGCAGCGGCACTGGGGCGTAGTTGGACAGCGTGTTACAACGTGGTCGGCTAGGGGCACGGCCCACCACTACTGAGCATGCTCACAACCGGTGCAACGTTGAAGTCTGCGCTAAATTTCGGGGTACCAATTTCTTAAGTTTAGGAAGTTGGTAGGACGCGTTATTAGTAGGTCAAAATATTCTTACAAGCTTGGGACCGAATAGGGCCCCGAGCACGGTGGAGCAAGCTGAGCACGTAATTTGCTGGTGCACCAGGCATTCGCCTGAGCATGCTCATTATCGCTGCACCGGCATGTTCGATGAGACAGTGCAGAGACAGTGCGGATGGGAAGGCTGGAGGGAAGGCTCCGCCCGTCACAGGCCAGTACACAATTTGCTGCACTGTTGGCTAAGGAGGAGTGAAGGACATGTGAACTGAAGAAGACTCCTCAAAGGGCAGGATAGTGGAGGAGAGTGAGGAGGACGCAAGTGACGGATTTTGGAATCATATTGTGCTTATAGTGTTTGTTGACATGGCGATGTACGGTAGGAGAAGGTATGGGGAAAATGTGCATAGATGGAGTGCATAGTGGCATGGGCAGGAATGACTACTGGAGACGGACGTGTGGGGGTGCTTTTAGACTCCTGTCCATACTAACAAATGGCATGGATCTGAATGTAAAGAAACTATTCCGGCCTGCTAAAGACAGACTTTGTCGTCTAAAGACAGCAGGCTGTAGACGAGTCGCCCATTAGCTGCGGAGGGTTGCAGAGCGGTCAGGATGCGGCCGAGGGTCGGGCACAGGATACGGGTGGGAAAGAGTAGGATAGAAATGTGGAACCCCCAGGGTAAGGATGGCAGTAGGGCCCAGGATGGCGGCATATTTGGAAGGGTCGACGCCAACCCGCCAAGGATGAGGATGGCGGAGGGGATGCAATCGCCAGGATGCGTGTTGTTCTCGAGGACAGAAGATGGCAGGGTGTAGGATGTATCCAACCTACAGGATGCGTGCCCGGAACCCCTCTCTGCACCCCTCCTTTAGCTGTGCAGTCTATATCCGAGCTATAGTCCATCCAACTATAGTCAATGCAACGATTGGCTAAAAAATCGTCTATAGACCGACTATAGACGAATGGACTGTATGGCAGGATAGTTGGACTGTAGTTTCTTCCCATTCCACAGACGGACACAGCGACACATGCAGTTCCTTATTCTCCTATCAAAGCAACGCCAGCGTTGCAATTGCTTCCCAACAATCCTTTGTTCTCTGTGCTCTCATTCTTTTGATTCGCATACACTGGCCATGTTTGGGACGACTGCAGCACGATTTTTCGGCCCACGAAAGCTAATTGCCGCGCATACTTGTACCGCTCACCCTCCTGACATTCGTCAGTGCAAACTTAAACAGACCGAGCCAGGTACCAGGTCCAGCCTGGGAAGCTTGGAAAGGCAGTAGCTTGCGCGGCGCGCCAGGCGGGAGAGGCATAAACACGTCCATGACTTTCGACCTAGCTGGCGTTTGGTTGAAGGATGCGGGGGTTCTAGCATGCGGGTTTCGTGTGGTAAAGGGCAAGCAGAGCTAAAACACAGCAGTCAGGCGCCCAAGACAATGACGTTCTCAGGTTCAAGGCCCTGCATGTGTGACTATACTTGAGCGCCGTTCCAACGCGCTATGCGACCAACTGCCATGGCCATGGCCTTCATAGGCTTAAGTATATGCATGATACTGACTATTGGGAAGAGCAGCATTGTGTCGACTGAAGCGAGGCTAGATGCATATTTTTGAACCTACACATCTTTGCTCACAGTGTGCTTGCCACCGAGCAACAAGGCCCAGATAAACGATATAAATATGTATCATAATCGACGTATATGATGAATGTGTATAACCGATGTATTTGCTTGGGCATCCTGCGGACTTGTCCTTCATACAATGTACTTGACAAACAACGACAGATGTACGACAGCAGAAATGAGACCAAGCGAGACAACTAACATACTCGGCTTGTTGATCATTCGATAGCCATGGTCGGTATTGATACTAGCTGAACTGGGAAATTCATTGTGGGAAGCTGTGATGTCGATCATCACCGGGATTCTAGTTTTCTCTTGTACTACGTAGCCGGGCTTTTCGTTTAGGTTTCAGATCAGCGGGGGCGTAGCTAAGAGTAACGATTGAGCTCGGTGAGGTTACGGATATCGTAAAAGTACTTGCTGAACGAGGCAATCGTTTTCTGCGCATGGAATCGACGTGTCCTGCCAAGCGCAGCTCCTAGGCTTTTGGTTGGCTACAGACGCTGTTATTGCAAGTCCTCAGGGCAGCCGCCGGAAACATGGGACCAAAGGGTCTTCCGACGGGGCACAAGCAGCCGTCTTTGCAACAGCAGAACCAGCGCCAGCAGCAACAGCATCAAGTGCCGCCAAGCCGGGTGCAACCTGCGAAACCGACTGCTGACTCCGATGCCCACTCCAACGCCTCCGTCGATGACGATGTGCCGCTGCCGCTCGTCGACCAGAAGTACCTTTCGGACAAAAAGTTTGGGGAGTTTTCCATTTCGTTAAGCAGCAAACGGTAAGAGGAGGAGCTGGCGGATCGCGGGTTTGGCCTTTCCTTTATGTGCAGCCTTGGGTGTCCTGCTTTGTGTTTGAATAGATACGTGCTTACGTTTACAAACTGGGACAAAGCTGTTCTGATGGGGCAGGGATTACTATCCGCCACTGATCACGAGGCATGATAAGCTGTGAACCTGTGGTTATTTTCACGGGAAGGCAGGATATGAAGAACTTGTCATGGCTCCAATGTATTCATGGCCTCTTAAATGTTGAGCACCGTCCTTCAACCCTGCCGAAGTTCAATCGTCCCGGCCACCTCGACATACTCCAAGCTCGCAAACTACAGCCCAAGACAGTTCGCCTCGTGAGACACCTAATACTGCTTGCTGGGGCGCCTTGCGTTGTAGGGCGCTGTCTGAGGTACTCCGCTATGAGCTTTGCTCCTTGGTTCAGGCGGCCTCCATTCCCGTATGCCTGGGGCCCGAGGATGTCATCGCCAAGGCCAAAACGGGCACTGGAAAGACCCTGGCATTTATCATCCCGACGATTGAAAAGGTGGATCCCATGCTAGGGTAGCTTTACACGGGGTCTGCATCGGGGACTGGTTTCATCACCGCGTCCCGAAACAGCGGAATTCCACTATGTGGTGATGGTTAATGGTTCCCCTTCGTCAATGAGAGGGAAGCCCCAGGATTAGTGGTTTTCGCGATTCGTCCCCAACCCATCGATGTTTTACCCACCCCACCCCTCCGCCTAGAGCAATTTGTTGGTGAACGTTGTTACAGCTTCTGCGCTTGCACTATCTCCAACTCACATATCCTATTTAACACCCATGTCCATTTTACTTCGTATCGCCTCCTGCCTCTGCCTCGCCCTCGCCAGGTTCTTGCCCGCCGCGCCCCACCTGGCAAGGTGTCAGCTCTGGTCCTGAGTCCCACTCGGGAGCTGGCTCGTCAGATTCAAACGGAGACGCACAAGATGCTCACATTCCACCCAGGACTGCACTCCATGGTGGGTGGGGAGAGAGGGGGTGAAAGGCCAGAAGGGATCCTCGCGTAAGCCAGGCCCGGGAAGTGAGTGAGGTTGAGCCAAAGGCAGGTGGAGGCTTAGGGAGAATGGGCCCTTCCTGAGCCCGCTCCACTCAACCTTCAACAGCCTTATCGTGGAAAACCAAGTTTTGCATTGCCATACGGGGCCCATGTTGATAAATCCGCAGGTGGTGTATGGTGGTGTGGACGTGAAGAAGCATCTCCGGGCGCTCAGCCAGCGTATGCCCGACATCTTGATCGCCACACCGGGCCGCTGTTGGGACATTATGACACAGTCACACGTAAGAGCGACGATGATGTGTGCGAACGAACTGAATGTGTGCACAATTGTGCATGTGCGCGTGCGTTCTTATGGGTCAGAACCGCCCAGGTGGTAGGGACCAAAGAAAGAGCTGAGCTACGAGGCGGTACTGAGCTGCTGGGACGCTGTGTGCTGTGAGGGTTGTTCCTGTTCATGGGTACACACGTGTGTGTGTCTCTGTTTCTGCAGTGTGCCATCGAAGGGGTCGCACGTCTGTTCTTACACTCGGCAGCATGTCTGCGAAGTGCGTTGCGCTTCGCATGACCGTAACCAGGCATGCATTCGCTGCGGCAAGCTGCTTCGCTCTGGGGGACTCTTTCGCCTTCCAGATACCTCAGTCGCAGACATGTGCTACAAGCCCCACTTTTGCAAGCCAAAGAAAAGCACGATAATGACTTATAATTTGGGTGCTGGTACGTGTGCTCGAAGCCCCATTCCCCTTGAGACATACTTGCTATGATAACCCAACTCAGCCTATTGAGGAGCAAGCACATTCGCACTCGTCTCCACGCAGGATCGCGCGCTGACCACCGTCCTGGACAGCACCCGGGTTTTGGTTTTGGACGAAGCGGATAACCTACTGGATATGGGCTTCAGGTAATGGGAACGGCAGAGCCAGCTAGAGGGAGAGGAAGCCCAAAAGGTGGATTTGGTGTGTAGGGTAGGGCCAAAGATGGGAGGCGGGTAGTTGCGAACCAGCAGCGCTACATCGGGAAGTAGGTGGATGCGATCAAGGCGTAATAGATGCTTGGACTGGAGGGGAACTCTCTGTAAGAGGCATGACGGTCCTGCTAGGCATGAATGCTGTGTCATAGCCACGCCGCAGGGCATCCTGGCTCCTATTACCTTGCCCCGCATTGGTCTTGAGTCGGCGGATTTTCTACCCTCCCTTTCCCCTCCGCCAGGCCGCAGATTTCTAAGATCCTGGGCTCCTTGCCGCCAACTTCCCAACGTCAGACGTTTCTCTTCTCCGCCACATTTCCGGCGGACGTCAAGAGCCTGGCGGATGTGGCTCTGAAGCGACAACACAGGTATCATCATCGGGAGCAGAGAAGGGGCTGAGAAGGGACCCAGAGGGCTTGGCAGGGCCCAATTGCGGGGTGCCTGGCCTAAAATAGTTAATCGGCCGCAAGGCTTGGATCGGGCTTTATTGGATTATTGGCTGGGGGTTAACTCGCCGAACAGGAACCATTTGCCCATAATTGCTTTCTTGTGCTTGGAACCCCAGCATACTCCGTTCCTCTCCTTCCCTTCTCATGCAGATATGTTGACGCGGTGGGTGAGGATGTCGCCACCCACACACACGTGGAGGCCAGCAGCCTGGTGGTGCCGCTGCAGCGAGGGGAGCTGGCGCTGCAGCTGCTGGGGCTCATTGCGGCACACATAGCGCAAGAACCTGACTACAAGGTAGGAGCTTGGATGGAAAGCCGCCTGGGTTATGTATCGGGGATATGCAAACCCCGGATACGCAAGGAATGAGGGGCATAGAAAAGAAACGGGTTGCCGTGCATGTGTGACCGTACCTTTCTGGGCTCGGAAACGCGGAACAGCGGGTTGGATGCGCAAAGAAAGGTGCACGGAGAGTGCATGATGGGATGCATACCAGGCGAACGCTATTCGTTGCAGCACTCAGGGTATCGCCGTCTTGGCAACGGGGCATCCTGAGGATTAAGCTATCAGAGCTATCAGTTCGCCCGTCCACCGGGGCCCCGGCTGTCCTGGAGGAGTTTCGGTTGTAATCCCGTCCGGACTTTTCTCCTTCCCTTGGCGAGCAGATAATTGTATTCCTGCCAACCGCCAACCTGACGGCCTACTATGCTGAAGCCTTCACTGTCGCGGGTTTGCGCGGCGTGTTAGAGATCCATAGTCGCAAGAGTCAGGCACAGCGGGACAGGGCCTCGGCGCAGTTCCGCTCCGAGTCCCGACTGGTGATGTTCAGCTCGGATGTGTCCGCGCGAGGAGTGGACTACCCCAATGTGACGTATGTCATCCAGGTGCGGGGGCTTGTAAGTAAGCGTAGGTGCATGTGGAGGTCTGTAATGGCGTCCGCTCCTGCAGTATCTACTATAGGGGCCCACGACGCATCAACGTTTTCTGTTTGAATAAATCCATAAGGGTGGCGAAAGTCGAATTCTCATTGCTCCCCACGCATAATATGGCGTGGCCTGGGTAAAGCTCCTGGTGACGTACGGCCGACATTATGAGATGTCCACCCAGCGCCCAGCGCGCGGGTCCACTCTGTCTGGTGTTTTTTTGTTGAAGGTCCCCGCCACATCCTTCCAGCAGTTTCTTTTTTTCAATCCCGACCCTCTTTCCTCGGCCTGTCGTCATGTACGTATCGTGCGTCCTTCTCACGCGTCCTATCATTTTTATCACCCTATGCAGCTGGGCGCCCCAGCGAACCGGGAGCAGTACATCCACCGCGCTGGCCGCACCGGACGGGCGGGACGAGCGGGACAAGGAACTCTGTTGCTCGCGGATTTTGAGCGGCCCTTCCTGGACCGCCTCCGGGATTTGCCTATCACGCCATTACAGCCAATGCAGCTAGCATTGCCGGGGTCATTAGCCACCAGAGCTGGACGTTGCGGGGGTGGCAACGGCGCACCTGCTGCAGGACCGATGACGGAGGCGCTGCTGCGGGATCCCCAGGGCGTGCTTGGGCGAGTGGCGAACCAGATTGACTATGCCACCCGCGCGCGTGCCTATCAGAGCGTCCTGGGTTATTACAAGAGCCACGAGGTGCTCAAGTAGGTGGAAGCTGGCTGCCCCGCTGCTCTCGCCGGGCCTAAGATGTTCGTCTTTTCAATGCACTTGCGAATGTTTCTCTTTCTGCACGCGCCGCGTTGCGGCCTCGATCACTTTAAGCTTTGTTTCTTGTGTATTGGTTCCAGATCGGTTCTTTTGCCGCTGTCATCCTCTTGCGTTCTCACCCCGAGATTGTTAGCTCTTCTCGCCCTGCCATGCCCAACCGTCTCCTCCCAACTCAATACGTATTTGCATGACCTCGTTTCTTTTTACATCTAGCCATCAAGTCATGTTGCGCTCTCCTGCCGCCTCTTCCATTTCTCTCGCCACGTGTGCAGGTTCCGTTCCGAGCAGGTGGTTGGCCTGGCCAACCAGTACGCGGCGGAGGTGCTGGGATGCCCCACACCGCCGGGCTTGCTAGCCAAGACAGTCGGCAAGATGGGGCTCAAGGGAGTACCGGGGCTCGTCATCGTTAAGGAAGGACAGCAAGGGCAGCCGCCACCCAGCTCTGCTGTCCCGGTTGGTCCGCCACCAACGCCGGGCCAGGCCGCTGCAGCGGCGGCAGCAGCTATGGTGGCTGCTGGGACACAGCGTGCTGGGCCTTCCGGCCGGAGTGGTGCAGGCTCCAGCCAACAGCAGTTGCAACAACACGAACAGCAAGAGGGAGGGGCAGCAGCACCCGCGGCAACAGGGGCGGCAGGAGCAAGAACCGGCCGAGGGAATGGACCGCAGCAACAGCTTTCGTCAGGGCTCTCTGCGGCAAACGGCTCTGGCTCGGCTGCTCAGGGACCGCAGGATCTTGTTTCGGCCCAGCCGCAGACTCGGCTGACCACTCAACAGGGCGCTCCTGCCGGTGGCAGGAACGGTGGCAATGAGCCCCAGTTGCTACCGAGGGCGCAGGTTTCCCAGACACCTGCGCCTGGGCTGCAGCCTCAATTTCAGCAGCAGCAAAGGCTTCAATCCGGACGAGGACCGGTGGCGGACCAAGCGCCGCGAGCTCCAGCTCAGCAGCAACAGCAGCAGGTTGGTGCAGCGCTGGTCGAGGCGCGAGGGGCTCGGGGCGGAGGGCGCCAGGCGCCAGCGGGGCCGGCGGGGCAATTGCAGCAGCAGCCCGTTGATTTGGTCGGTCCCGCTTTGCCTCCTGGTCTTGGGCCGTCTAGTCGCAGTGAACCTGTCGGTGTGAACAGCTCGCTGCCTGTGGCCTCTCCGCCTGTGGGCACTGTAAGCTCGAGCAACTCTGTCCAAGGTGCCGCTGCATGGGGACCGGAGCAGGTTGCAACGGTAGCAGTGCCGTCGTGGAATCCACAGGCGACGGCAGCCGCTGCTGCTGCTGCGCCGAATAACATGGTGATATCGACAATGCAGCGACCGGACATGGGTTTGCAGCCTAGCGCCGTGCCCCCAACCCAGCCGCAGCCGCAGCAACAGCTGCCGCTACAGCAGCAACAGCTGATGCTGCAGCAGCAGATGACTCTGCAGCAGCATTCGGACTTCGCGTTCCAAAGGCAATACGGAGCAGCTCTTGCTCTCTCGCGCGATGGGGAAGTCAGCGGCCGGGCTGACGGCGTCCCGCAACAGCTGCAACAGCAGCTGCAGCAACAACAACAGCTGCAGCAGCAACAACAGCTGCAGCAGCTGCAGCAACAACAGCAGCCGCAACACTTCCAGCTACAGTTTCTCCAGCAGCAGCAGCAACTGCAGCAACAGCACGGCGGCAGCGGCGCACAGCCAACTGATCCACCTGCTACCCATGCCACCGCTGCCATGGCAGCTGCCGCGGCAGCAATCAGTGGCCAGCCGTACCAGGGGGGCTTGCCTCCGGGGGCGCAAGGTGCTGCTCCGGGTGTCCCTCCGCCAGGTGGTGCGCAGCAATCAGTTTCAGCAGAGTACGCTGTGCTAGCAGCCATGCTTAACATGCCGCCACCTTACGGATTCATTCCTCCACAGCATCAACAAGCCCAGGCGCTGCAGCACATGCACACCCAGGCCCTTTCGCAGACCCAGGTCCCAGCGCCGCAGGCCATTCAGCAGCAGCAGAATGATTTGACCCGCCAGGCAGCGGCTACGCCTGTGAGCATAGCACAACAACAGCCGGTGCAGGCCCAGCAGCAACAAAATATGCATGCCCAGCAACAGCAGCAGCAAGTCTTGCAATTCGCACACGCTCAGGCAGCCGCTATGGCAGGCCTGGGTTTTTTGCCGGGCAGGGTGCAGGTCCCCGGAGGTGTTGATGGTGCCGTCGGCGGTGAGTCCGGAGCGTCAACTTCGGGGCAACCCGTAACAGCTGCCGGCACTTACCAGCACCGGCAGATGTCGCAGGGCCTTGGGTCACGGGTGCTTGGGCAGGATGGCCAAACGTTAAGTGGCGTTAGCGGGCCATTAGACCCAAGCGCTGCCTTGCTGCAAAACTTGGCAAGTCTTGGCGGCATGCAATCCAATCCTCAGGAGGCTGCGGTGGCTGCAGCGGCAGCTGCAGCAGCAGCGGCGGCGGCCGCGGCGGCGGGTCGGCGCGGCGATGGGGGACCAGCGTCTTTGAGTACTCACCAGCAGCTGTTACACCAACAATACCAGCAGCAGCAGCATTTGCAACAGACACAGCAGCAGCAGCAACAGCTGTTCCTGCAGCAGCAGCAGCAGCAACAAGCTCAACAGCAGAGGACGACGCAGCAACAGCAACAACAGCTGGTGAACCAGCAGCAAATGGTGAACCAGCAGCAGCAGCAACATGTCGTGCAGCAGCAGCAAGCTCAGCAAGCCCAGCAGCAAGCTCAGCAAGCCCAGCAGCAAGCTCAGCAAGCCCAGCAGCAAGCTCAGCAGCAACAAGCTCAGCAGCAACAAGCTCAGCAACAACAACCTCAGCAACAGCAAGCTCAGCAGCAGCAAGCTCAGCAGCAGCAAGCCCAGCAACAGCAAGCTCAGCAGCTACAGCAACTACACACTCAGCAGCAGCTACAGCAACAACAGCAGCTGCAACACCTGCAGCAACAGCAGCAACAACAACAGCAACAACAACAGCAACAACAGCAGCAGCAGCTGCAACAGAAACAACGGTTGCAGCAGCATGCGGTCATCTCTGGCGGAGCGCATGCGCAAGGTGGAGCTAGTAATACATCTGCCGTTCGCCAACCACAGGTACGGCAAGTTGTCATATCCATGTCGTCCAAATGTATGATTGCTGGGTGCATAGACGACGCTATGGATTGCGTTTGGCTTTCTTTTTTTTGGTTGAACATGCTACAGTTAGTTTCTAGCGTCTGCGCTTTGGGTCTTTGGGCCATTCTGCAGTCCTCACTGCCTTGAGCTTATGTACTTCATCTGTCATTTGGCCGAATATTCTTAACTGCGTGCCGTGCTAAGCACGGGCTGCTGGACCGACGACTTACTTGCAGGGGCCTTTACTCGGACAAGCGCAAGGTCAAGGTTCGACCCAGCAGGGTCTCCGGCAGCAACAGCAGGGTCCAGCAGGCCCAACTGGGCCCACGGCTCAGCATGGTGCAGGGCCACACCAGGTCGGGGCCCCTCGGGGAGCCCCTCCAGGCGGGCCAGTGGCTGCAGGGCGCGCTGGCGGAGCCGCCGTGGCCACGCCCGCACCGAGACCGGCATCTGCAACGGGTCCAGGTGGAGGTGGTGGTGGTAGTGGTGGTGGCCCCGTCCGCTGGTGGCATAAGCAGCCGCTTAAAGATCAAGCGGCGGAGATTACGGAGCGAGTAGCAGGCGCTAAGGGACTGGCTGCTGGGAGTGACCCGGCGCTGAAACAGGCCAAACATCACTCACAGCCACAGCAGCAGCCACAGGGTTTGGCAGGGCCATCAGGCAACGCAGTTCTGGCCGCAACCACAAATGGGCCAGCCTCTATTGGGCGCACAGTACAGCAGCCACCCCCACAACAACAGCAGCAGCAGCTCCTGCAGATGGGCAGGGCTACAGCAGGACTAAACTCCTTGTCCATAGGAGCAAGTAACACGGGTGGGATTGACGGCCCTGCACTCAGCAGCGCGAATACCGGTGCAGGGGCCAGAGGCCAGGGTCCCGCTGCGGCGATGGCAGCAGCTGCTGCAGCGGCTGCAGAGCAGGCGCAGGCGCATGCTAAGGCGCAACAGCAAGTGCAGGCATTGTCCTTACAGCAAGCATTGTTGCAGCAGCAACAGCAGCAGGCGCAGCAACAGCAAATCCTCCTGCAGCAGCAGATGCTCCAATACGGAACCATGGGTCAACAAGCGCCGTACTTTCTTGTGGGCCAGGCACCGTTGACGGCGGTGGGGCCCCAGACCAACACCGTCTACGCCAACGCGCTGCAACAGCAGCAACAGCTGACGCCTGCACAGCATCATCATTTGCAGCAACAACTAACACCCATACAGCTGCAACAATTACAACATTTGGCACCTGCACAGCAGCAATGGTATCTGCAGCAGCTCGCGCTGGGAGGCGGAGCGGCTCCGGAGTGCAAGCAGCAATAGCCGGTCCAGACGCTGGGCATCGATCACGCGTTGGTCGCTACATGGGGCCTGCACGGTGCGGCGCCGTCCACCGGAGGTCGTAGGCGCGTCAATAGGAGGACGATGTATGCTTTAAACTGCATGGAGATATGATGGCCGGCTTTGGGAGTGGGACTGGGGCCTTTGTTTCTTAAATCCAGTTGGATGTTTGGTTTACGTGTTCGATAAGCTGTACTAAAGTTGGCCATGGTGCCCGGCTATACGCTGCGGCAACCAGCGTTGTGTAGGGAGAGTTGCTAGGTAGGTTTTCTCTGAAGCGAATGGCGCATTGCTGGCATTTGCTGCAGCTGTGGTGGCTGTTTGGTGCGGTCACTACGTCTCCGTAGTATTTTCCGTTCATGAATTGGTCTGTTCCCAACATTTTTGTGGGTTATAGAGTATCGCCACGCCTAGTAGGCAGGGCTTTCTGCATCATGGAGGATCCGTGGACAAAGCGCGTGGGGCACCGGACAGGCCCGGTGTGCATGAACGCGGCGGCGGACACTGGCGCGCTTCCGTGTTCCTCAGCTGACATGCTTTCCCGCAAAGAGGCAGTGGCTGCACGCGTCTATATGGCCGCCGCAGCCTTGAAAGGGCGAAGTTGACGACACAAGATGCACACAAGTTGCATCACGGTACTGCACTGAAAAGGGAAATCATGCATGGCCAGCTTCCAAGCTTACCGCCCTTGGTAGTCAGCGGCCAGACGTTTGCATCCGTGTCCATTGCGCAATCTGGACATGAACCACGCGTCAACTTTGGATTGGGATCGGATGTTAAGGCGGCCTGGGTGTATGCTATGCCAGCTTAGACGGGCCTAGCAAATGCAGCGGGTTGCGGCTCATTTTTGATGGCACCTTGCTATACAGCAACGGTTTGCCTAGCCTGCAATACTATGGAAACATGCCCGCACTGGCGCTAACCTTTGTCGGGCTGAGATGGCTTGCCGTGGTGCGGTAGAGTCAGCCAGCATTACTGGCAGGGTTACCGCAGCGTAGTTGCCTCATAGCATGCGTTATCGAGATTGCCGTACATAAATGGGCCTGAGGCTAGTGTTCCATTTGGCGTGGCATCGACTTGGTTGCAGCGGGGATTCTATCTAGGTTCGTCATCCTTGCGCACGGCGATACATGGTGAAGCGGTGCTGCTGGACCGCGCGGTCAGAAACACGTTCCCACTTCGATGAAGGCCTAAGGATTCCGAACTATGTCGGATCTGTCGTGCGGTTATCGAACGCATGGTCGCAATGGTGTATAACATGAAGCTCCCATTCTCTGCATAGGCCTGCGCGTGTTTGCGTGCTTGTTTTCTGTACGAGTAGGCGATGATGTGCATTGGGTGCTATGTCGCCGCATGTTCCCTGGCGATCACAGGGCGTGAACTTGCGGCTTTTTCACGGTCGATTGGGCATTTGAGTTAGGTGTAAACAATCCCGTTTTCGCGAGTACTGGCGCGGCGGTTTATGTCACGATATTGATGCGCTAATGAACTTGTCTGCCTCTTGCGGATGTGTGGGCATGTGCGGGGGTTCAAAGTGCGACAAGCGCTCTGCAGTCCTTCGTGAATATGTGCGCCCATAGCATACCTTCGTTTAGGATTATGCATGGTTGTGGGTTTAAGTGGTAGAAAGATGTGCGAGGCACGTGCATTTGGAAAGAGGACGCCTTAAAATTGGTTCCCATGGATAGCATAATGCAACTCGGCTGACACGTTTATAACTAGAGCTGTCCTAAAGCGGAAGCCGGAGAGCGGAACCGCTACACGTGTGTTGGCCACAAAACCGGCTTTCTTTTCCTAGCACCTCGGCTTTGGAGATAAGGTGGTGCCCAAGATGCTGCGATGTATTGAGGTGCATCGGGTGCTGCAGATGTTGACAAACCCCTGTTCCACCTGCGCTTATAGAACTCATGTTCCGCTGTGTGCCGCCACAGCTGCGTGTGTCGGGAGAGTTCACGATGGTCGCGGTTGCACCCATGACTAGCGTCATTCTCCATGTCCAAAGGTTTGATTTTGCGACCCTTTTGACCTTGTTTCCTGGGGAAGTCTTGGCTGCCATACTCCTGTGCTGGTCTATTGAGGATGGCGTTCTAGAAGTTGGGCAGCTCCAGGGGCCGTTCCAGACCTGAGGCGGGCAGGTTTGATGGGAAAGCTGTTGGGTTGGGCAACCGGCATGTCCAAGGAAGCTAAGGTACTGCGGCCGCGTCGTTGAGGTGTGGACCGCCGGACTTGGGAGTGAGTCGATAACGTTTGTTGCAGCCTGTGTGTGACAGCAGTCCATGTTGCAGCTTCGAAGAAAGGCTTCTGCCTAAAGCGTGTTTAATTTCTTCTGGGTTCCCGGTTCACATACAGCTCACTTCCATCTACAGCATAGCCAAGACCATCTTACTAAGGCGGCATATGTTTCATGTGCGGCATCGGGATCGTGTCATGGATTTCCAGTTTCCGATATTAGAAGGACCGGGGCGGCAGGAACAGCAGGGCAACTAGGGCACGTTCGCTAGATGCTGTACCCGTTCGCTACCTTAGCTAGGCCAGGCCTGCGGGTTCATGGCTATAGGGAACAATTCGTGAGCTTGATTGGGGTTGCCTCTTAAACGGCCGTAACCGGGAGACAATAATATCGATCAGCCGTCATGATTGCTGTTATTGCTTGCAGTGCGGAGACGTTCTTGGGTGCTGTGCGACGCCGCGCGGTATGAAAGTACTTTTGATCTTTGTTGCTGCGGCTGCCCATGTCCGTCTCGCACGGGTGCATGTGATTGGGTCTAACCCCGGTATACATGAGCCGGTGAGGAGAGGGCTGCTCATTCGGTATACCCTTGAAGCGCATGTGTACGGGGCGGCGTATGTAGCCGCCACGTGAACTTTCCTTTATCTCCATGTCATCGGCCTAACATCTTTCGAATGGCCTGGGGAACTCGACCAACTTGACCGAAGGAGGCTAGGATAAGGGCTGAAAGGGGCGTAGCTATGCATTCACGGCATTGGAAGGGAAAGGATGCATACTGTCATACTGCCATGATGCAGAATACCGGAAACAGACCAACAACGGAACAAAGACCACATATCAATGCACTAGCGGTTTGGTTTGGTACACAAATAAATTTAGTGGAAAAGCACACTGGGAACCTGCATGACCGCCTGCTCTCAAGCACTCAGTGGCTCGAGGTTCCCTTATGCCTGTCAGCCATCTTGGAACACGAGCTTTGCCCCAGCATTAACCCTTCACGTCTTACAGCAAGACGGACACGGCCTTGGCCTGAAACATCCTAAACCATCACTTGTGAGCTTGACCACAATTTGGCTGGGCTGCTCTAATGAAGTGCTCTGCGGCAACGATGCTCTGCTTTGTAGCACATTGTAGGCGTGAGGCGTCCCTGAAATTCAAAATCTTACTTTCATGGAGTGAATAGAGTTTGAGTCTTCAGGCACGGGCGACTTAAAGCTTCTTCACTTCATTATGTGGCATTTGTGTGTCCTGTCATGGATTCCAAGGCCATGACGGGTCCGAATCCCAGGTCAAACTTGTGAGTCCTGGGCCTAACCTTGGCGAATTGATAGCGTCGCAACTGCCGTGGTGGTTTTTACACAATTTATTTCCTTAGTAACGAGGCAAAACCAGGAGAGCCGAAACCTGATGAGGCGTACGGAAGGTGGTGTGCTACACCGCTCGCAACAGGAAGAAGTGCCCAATCAAGTGTGCACTGCTTCGGTTTCCTTACATAATCAACTATATAAAAAAGCTCCACAATCCTGAAACATTTGAAACCAAAGTTATATCGTAGACACTGTCAGTCTTCAATTTATGACGGTTATACAAGCGGAATCGTAAGGAGAGCGCACAAGTGCTTGCTTCAAGTCCTTTTCTCATGCAAAGGAAGGTAAGGACGATGGCTCTTGGAACCCTGGGGAAACTTTGAAGTTCTTGCCTACACGTAGGCTGTCGCTGTTTCAGGGATCCGGTCTTTCGGAGGCCATGGAGCATTCTGCATGCACAACAACTAAAATTGCTACATCTTTCTTTGCAGGAAGGGTTGTGCAGGCGGTTGGTCCTTTTCTACCAGTAAGCACATCGGAGAGCAGGAATGGCTTCAGCCCTTGCCCGCCAAGCATTTCAAGACGTTGAGACAGATGAAGAGTCTCCGCAACAAACAGCTTCGCATAAGTCATCTCGCCGTATGCTGGACAGCTCTGGTGATGAAAGCGTAGCACGGCAACAGGTTTTGCAGCGGCGCCCTCTCATGTCAACTGGTAGCAGGATGAAGCACGGAGGGGGTCTACGTCCTGAGGACCTTGGTGACCTAAGGCCAACAACGCCGCCTGCCGGGCCTACCTCACGCAGCAGCCGTCAGGCCGACTGGGCGTCCGCTGTGCTGCAAATGCTGCAAAATAGTGCTTTAATGTCTGGGACGCCAATCCCAGGCGCTGATGCAGCGCAACGATCAGGGCCAAGCTCAGTCGCTTCTAAGACCTCCCGACGACAAGCCCCCACCGTCGGAGACCCACGCCAAACCCACACCAGTGTTAGCCTGCAGAGGTCGTCAACTACCAAGGCTGCAGCGGCACGCACCCTCAATAACTCGAGCAGCGAAGATGACGAAACAGGCACGGCTCTGACATCGTTCCAGGCATCCTCGGAATTTAAGCCTCAAGCCCCGCGAAGCAGTGAAGCCCATGGCTCGCGATCGTCTCGCCTACACACTGCCAGCAGCTCAGGTCTTAGTGCAGCCGCTGCAGCCGTTACTGACTCGAACCACGCTTCATCAAATCGAGTGACAAGCAGCGCCGGCCGCGCTCCAACGGGAAGTGTTCCTATCGGCGGTAGTGGGGGCTTCACAGCCGCTGCGGCTGCTGCGTTCGAGAGCCTTAATGCCACTGCATCCCGTCAACAACACCGTGGCTCACGACTGCGCCGTGCCTCTGGCAACGAGTCTGTGGCAAGCGAGGTCAGCCATCCAGAGAGCGTCACGTCCTCCAAGCATACGCTGGGATCGTCCAAGCTCAGTGCGACGGTGCAGCGGGTCGTTGCACGACAGCGCTTACTGGATAGCAGCAGTGGGGAGGAGGACAATGCTACCGTGCCGGAGGACAAGCAGGTTGACTCTGATGTGGGTCAGGCGGCAAGGCTCCTAGCGCGCTTCAAGTCGCTGTCATCGTCGGGCTCAGCGTCTGTCTTTCCATCGGGAGGTAACCTACAGTCATCTGACGGCATCGTGGTGAATGGCCGGAAGTCCCCAGCAGCAAAGATTATAGTGGGCAAGGGCGCTGGAAGCGACGCCTCTGGCTCTGCGCCTGCCGGACGCCCATCACTTGCTCCATGTTCAGGTCGCACACGACTACAGCCAGCAGATTCTCAAACCTCCGAGGTCAACGCTTTTACTTTTGGAACAAAGGGTGGCAGTAGTGTCGTCAGCGATGGCATCTCTCCACGCATGCGCCAGGCAGCTGCCGCCGCAACGGCGGAGGTCTCGGCTGCTGCGGCTTCCAGCTTGCGGCCTTTGCCGTTAACTACCATTTTTCCAGCTCACCTGACTTCGCCGGATCGTTCTAGAACTGCGCCTCAGCTTAGTTCACCAGAACTTCAGCGTGCACCTTCTATGGCTAGCGCCGATGGGGAGGCGGGCTTCTCGGCTGCCGCCGGAGCTGTTGCGCGGCAAGCCGTGGCGGTTGCGCACCCTGCCCACGTAAGCAGTTCGCAGCGGATTACAACGTGGCTTGAGCAGCAGCCCTCGCTATCTTCTGTGGGCATAGCCGACGATATTGTCAGTGAATATGCTACAACGTTGACGGGCACAGAAATAGACCTGGATACTGTAGCTGCTGGTATCAAGGCTTCCGCACGTGCTGCTGCGACAGTTATGCAGGTTGCCGTAAGGGGCGACGTGAAGTCGTTAGGCAGAGCTGACTGCCCGAAAGGGGTATCATCACGTTCACGGGAGATTCGTTTGACCATTTCGTCCGACGATGAAGAAGAAGCCGATCACAACGGCATTGACCATGTCCGCAAAGAATCTGCGGGTGAACCGAAACGTTGTGTGTCACAGAAGAAGATTTCCGGGGGCTTACAAGTCGCCGGCAAAACCCAGCTTGCGGAGGATGGTGCCGGTCGCCTGTCGGCAGGTGCTGCCAACATTCAAGTTGCGCTTACCGCCGCTGCCGTGGTCCCTCCAGCAGCACGACGCCTCGAATTCGGTGATTCCGAGGCCGCGCGGGCTGCAGCACCGCATATACCGAAAGACCTCGCTCCCAGTTACTCCTCGCCGTCGTTGCGTCTATCTGAGGGGCAATCGCCGGGCAAGCCGATGCCACCATCACCTTCAGAAGTGCCTAAAAACACCGACATCGTCGAGGACAAGGGTGCCGCCCGGAAGACGGCGAGTTCCGCCTCAGTTGAAGTAGATGTGCATGCAGCAGCTAGTAGCAGGCAGCGCCTGGCCGCTAAGTCGAGCTTGAGCCCGAGGCAGCCGAAGGCCGGCAGCACGGATGGGCAACGAACTAAGGAAAACTCATCATCCCCAGAATCCGGTGCCCTTGCGAGGCCTAGCCGTGGGGGCCAGAAGAGCAAGGCATCCGCGATGGCGACAGCTGGCCGCCTGACTCCCAATGAATTGCGCGTCATGCTGTCTGTCCTGTCCAGGCCTCCTTGGGCTGGTGCCCCAGCTCACGCAGTTACAAGCGCGCTCAGCCCTCAGCCCTCGCATTCGGGCGACTCGTTGCAGTCGTTTAGCTACTCCGAGATGCTACAGGTCATGCGTGCCATGTCATCTTCCGGCGGCGGCGAAAATCAGCGGGACGGCAGTTCCCGGGATGGCAGCATATCCAGCAGCACGCACAAAGGCAGCCGCAAGGACAGCGCGTCTGGCCGGCCTCGGTCGTCTAAGAATCCTCTGTCTCAGCAGCTGCATCACCAGCAGCTGTTGCGTTCCGCGCGTGACCTTCCCTCCCATCACACGTGCTTGGAGGTGAAGGGCTCGCAATTTTCACAGTCAGTCGACGGCGGCAGCAACAGCAGCCTCCTTGGAGAGCACCCGATGGCGGCGCCCATGGAACGCGAGTGGTCGGCATCTGCATCCACCGTATCTGACCGTGGTTCCGAGGAGCTGCAGCAGCGTAACTTCGCGGATATGGCCCAGCTGTGGAACTTGCTTATTGGCCGTAATCTTACTCCGGAGTCCCTGGATTCAATCGGCCTGCATCTTATTCCAGACGGCGCAGCCACGCCTGGTTCCGAAAGGCGCAGCCCGGCCAGGGTCGTCAGCGGCGCCGGTGGAAGCGTGACACATCCGTCTGCAGCCGTCCTGGCAGCCTCAGCGGCCGCCATGGCCACCACAGCCGTCATGGCAGCTGCTGGAGGCGCGCCGCATCGCAACGCCTACCTCCATGCAATTAACTTTAACCCCTTCACAGACGCCTTCACAGCCGCCAGCGCGGCAAATCAGCTTTCGCATGCTCCACAGCAGCAGCAGGGCACGGGATCGCCATCAGCGGCTCATGGCAGCAAGGGGCGTCGTGCACCGCCGGCACCTAGTCGGTCGTCAACCCGTTCTCAAGGCTCCGCAGCTACAGCCCCGCGCGAGACCTCTCCCGCTCAAGCACGGAGCCCGCGCTCAAAGAGCACCGGCGTTAACTCAATTAATTGGCACGAACAACAGCAGGATGTTCAAGCGGACCTTGCACGTCTATTGCGGGTTCTCACCGCCGCAGGTGACGGCGAGGTTTTGCCGCCGGATGTATCGGACGCCACGAAGGCCGAGCTTAGCCGTCTCATGCAAGTGCTGCGTAACGACACGGTGGCTACGAAAGGCCCGGACAGCAGCCCATCGCGCAGGGTGGCTGCCGTAACGGCAGCACCGTTGTCATGCCCCGTGAAGGAGCATCAGGCGGAGGCGCCGGCAACGGCAGCAGCGGTTCCTGCTGTTCCAGTCGCCGCTAACAGCACTAAGGCGGAGAGCCCCCGGGTGCGTGCACCCTCATCGCGCCGCAGCTCAGCGGACACCGTTGAGACTGGCCTGGCGCTTGGGCGACTATACCAGTCGTTAAGGAATCTGCGCGTCCGCGATGAGGGCGATCAGACGGAAGGCACGGAGCGCCCCATCGCACAGCTGACATCGGGTTGCGTCCAGACTGACTTATCGGATCTACAGGCATCTGCAGGGCGTGCGGCCGGCGAGGACTGCACGCTTGGCACGGGCTCAAAGCGCAGCCTTGGGGCTGCAGGGCTCCCACTGCAGACCGATACGCCACCCAATGACATATCTGCACTTGTCAAGGTTTCCGTGAACGCGGGAACGACAGGAATAAATAACGGTGCGCTTGGTGAGCAGTTCCAGAGCGTGCTTGGCATGCCGGGCGGTTGTCGGAACGCGACGGCACAGGCACCGACCGTTATTGACGCCGTGACCGGGAAGGAAGTTCGCGTGCTTAAAATGCCCGACGGTCAGCTGGTGGAAATCGACACGGTGCTCGTACAGAAATCGGACGGCGCAACGCTGACTGAGACCGTGGGTGACATTATCGGAAGCGGTGGTCGGTGGTTGCAGGTGAGAACTAACAGGGCTTCAATTGCGGGTTGGAAAAGCGTGACCAGTTTTGGCAACATTAGCTTTAGAACGAATCCTACGAAAGCAAGGGTTGTATGTACATTTCCAACCATGCGTCGTCCTAGGACACATGTACGACACGTTGCCAATTTTTTCGTTGGCATCTATGGCCTATTGCATCCCAACCCACCCCGTTCACCCTCATCACTGAGTGCGTCTACGTGATCGTGAAAGCAGTGCATTAACGATTGATGCACATTCTGTGTTGCCCTGGCAAGTGAAATTGTGGAAGTCCTATACCTGGCTCTTGACCGTGCGAGATCTGAGGTAGAGCTATCTTCCTTGCTGCGCAGCCGTCGACTACTTCGACATGGAGCATATCCCCGAGCACCACTGGGGGGGGCGCGCAGGCTAACCTGGTTGTGCTGGACCCGTCTGCGGAACAAGATGTTGCGTCCACCCTTCGCTACATGTCCGACGGTACGGCCCATACTGGCGCCCCTCCCAGCCTCGAATCTGACTCTGTGGCTGGGCTGGGCACCTCTGTCACTGTTGGGCCCGCCATCGTCTCTGCTGGCGCCACCATCACACACTTGAAACAACCAAATCACCAAAAGTCTGAGGACACATCGGCAGACTTCCCATTGCGCAATCTGCCTATCGCTTCGGAGGGCGGCATTATGGCGGCGCCCAACCAGGAAGCGGTCACAGCAGGCCGCGTGGGATCTGCGGGTGGAATGCTGGCATACCTTGAAGCCGCTGACCCCACTACAGCAACCGCGCTACTGGAACTCGTCCAGGCATTGCAGCTTATGACGCTTCATTCTCGCCGGCGAAGGTGGATTTCGGATGGCAGCAGCACGGCCAGTGGAGCTTACTTGGTGGATCCTCTGCCGCGGCACGACAGCACAGGTGGCAGCAGTGGCGGCGCGACTACGCTGCGGTACAGCTTCGGCACATCTATCGGCCCATCGGTGTCGCAGGCGGGCAATGGATCGCTTGTTGATTTACCGAACGCCACTGGTCATGCTGTTGAGGGGCCGGCCGTTTCGCTGCCCACCAAGTCAGCTTCTACCGGCGGGGTGGGCAACGGTGTTGCCGTACAGTCGCCTCAACCGAAGCGCCAGACCCACAACGCAGGCCTGCCGCCCCGGCCGGTGCAGATTGACTCAGAGCCTACTGCTAAGCACCTGCGGCGTGCCCTGCGTGCCGTCTCAGGCGGTGGAACCATGCGACTGACACCCACCGATGACCATGACTTAATGATTGGCGGTATTGGCGTTGCAAACGTTCCCGGCGGGACAGTCACACCAGTAACTGTGGCGGAGGCTGCGAAGTTGCACATTGCCCGCGCGTTAGAGCTTCTATCGCAGCCTCCTTTCCCTAGCGCCGACACGGCCCCAGATGCATGTTCTGCTGCCAGGGCGGCAACTGCTGATGTGGAGCTCCGTGCGCAAGAGGAGCTAGTGGCGGCGCTATTGGCGCTGCTGGCACCCGGAAACTTCGCGACGCAGAATGACGAAAACAAAATCAAGGCGTCCATGGACGAGCTGACGGCGGCTCCAGTGACAGCAGCAGATATTACTGGCCTAGAGAAGCCGCAAAAGCAGGGGCAGCTTGCATTGCAGGCCGCCCGGGAGCACGCCGTCAGCGCGAGAGAAGTTGCTGTTCCTGCAGTAGCAGTGGCCACCAGTGAGATGTCGCCTGTCAAGTTGCCTGTGCCAGCAGAGGCCATCAAGCCGATTTCGCCGCTGCATGCCCGCATCCAAGAGGTTCTTCAGCAGGCAGAGCGCGCATCGGCGGGTATCAGCAGCCTGCAGGTAGGCCTGTCACCAACATCGCCGCCTGCTGCAGACGTGCTCGAAGGTGTACCCTTCGAGCAGGCCATCGGCTTCATAATGGACGGTTTGCGCGACTTCGATGGGGGCCCCTCACATCTGGCTCGACACCTGCACCTGATGTACTCGCCTTCGAGTGGCGGATGCTTATTCTTCCCTACGGCGCTTGATTCGCTGGCCAGCCGCCGGCAGACGGCCGTAGCGCTAGGCGCCGCGGCGGTGCTGGAGGCGGTGGCTGAGTCAGTATCGGGCGATGTGGTGACGACGGCGGCTTCGGAGGCAGGCAGTGAGGACCATCAGTCGTTGACGGACGCTGAGCGGGAGCGCATGCAGGCGTTGGTTTCAGAGGCCGTAGCGGCTGCAGAGGCACTCGCACGGAACGCGCAACGGGAAGAAGCCTGGAACTTGGAACGCCTGGGACTACTGGTCGACGAGGTGCGCGCGGATGGGCAGCATTCTGAGGTGGCGCATGAAGAGCGGCAGCAGCAGATATTTGCAGCCCCTGAGGCTCAGGAAACGCCGCCCTCACCCTCAGCACTGTTGCAGCCAAGCAGTTGCCAAAACCTCCAGGCTGTCCACACCCCGTGCGGCATCGGCCAATCTCGTTCTGTCCCTTCGGGCTTGATCAACTCGGCTGCTGCGCCATCGGAACAAGCGCAGTGTCAGTCGTCGCAGCCTGCCTCGCAGGACACCGTCGTTACAACAACTAAGGCACCTGTCTCACCCCGCCGCCTTATTCAGCAGGTCGCCGATCTCGGAGCCGGCGCTATGGCCAGCCTACTCCCTGGCATGGACCCGGTTATGAGGCCCAACGCAAGCAGCACACAGCGCTCCGCGCCTGTGACCACTGCTGGTGTCGTGTCATCCGTGGATGACGCTAGCGGCGCCGGAGGCCAAAATAGCGCACATTCCAACCTCCCTGGTGTGCCACAGACCTTTGGGGGTGCTATGGATTTACCTGCGGACAGCGCTTTGGGACCCGTTCTGCCGCGCAGCACGCCATATCTCCCGTGCGGTGATCTGGACGAGCAGCTGCGCCCTATCCTGAAAGGCATGGCGGGCATTTCACAACAGGCACCGCGGTCTTCGTGCGCCCCGGCGGGGGCATTGCAGGGTGGATATCCTTTGCTGCTGCAACAGCAAGTTCAGGCTCAGCCAGCCGCTGAGGCGTCCAACGGCACGCGCCTGCCGACCTTCGCCACACCTTCGGCACCTGCTGTTCGTGGAGTAGCGACTTGCTCGCAGCCCACCTCAACTAGCGGCACTGTTCACACTGATCCCGCTGCTTTGGCCGTGGATCCCCGCGCTGCAAGTATGTACGATGGCACGACAATCTCAAAGCCGGTTGCGATGGTAGGCGCCGAGGCTGCCATTGAGGATGAGGAGGTACTGGAGAAGGATGAGATGTGTGAGGACGGCTGGGAGTCTGACATGGCAGACGCAGCGCGGATCTGCTCTCCCGAGTCTAATGATTCGGAGTTGGCATCGCTCGATGCTAGTCGTCAGTCCACGGCGCAGCAGCTGCAGCAGCAGTTTGCAAACATTCCAGCCGGAGTCGCCAGCGTTTTGGCCGAGTCGCACACGAAGGCAGTGACCGCCGAAGCCGCCAACCCCCAGCCGTCCCCCCATGTGACCACAGGGGCGTCAACAGGCGGGGCCGACCCGGAGGTTCCGGCGTTAACGGCACGCGACCGGTTCAATTCTCCGAGGCCTTCTTATAGCCCCTCACCGAACCTGCCAACTGTGGGAACCGCAAGTTGCAGCCTCAGCATGGCGCAAATGACGGCTGTAAGCCGCACTGACGCTGTCTCAGGCGCAAGCGTGGAGGCCTTGCCACAGCAAACGTCGTCTCAGTCGTTCAGTGACGCTAATGGCAGCTTTACGGCTGTCCGCCTGGCACGCGATGTGCTCAGCGGCCAGCGCACCGCACCTGGGTGTGGACCCACCAAGGGCGATCAACCGTTTCCGCAGACGGCTGAGACCTCTCTCGCGGCTTCGACCAGCGGGGAGGACCAGGATGGGAGGGAGGCGACGGGGATGCTGGACGAGAACCGTGCGCGCCGTGAGCTGTTTTCTGCCACGTTCGAGGGATTCGAGCAAACGCCTATTGGCGAGAACGCAGCTGCTTCGGGCCCAAGTGAGGAGACAGAGCGGTTGTTGACACAAGCCGCGCAGCTTCTGCTGCAATCCATGCAGCGCGCTGCCGAGGGCCAGCCGGAACAGGAGGCTGCTTTTCGTATCTTGGCGCCTGTCTTGCAGGGTCTAGCAGCTGCAGGGGATAAACCTTTTCCGCAGTTGGACAACTCTTGCCAGGAGGCTGGTCGGGCGGTAGCTGAGCCTGCCACCACCAGCCACGAAGAGACCTGCTCATTTCCGTTAGAGCTTGGCGAGGCGCCGGCCACGCTGCGTCGTGACCAGCAGGCGCAGCAGCTGCAGCAGGCCGCGGCTGACCCTGCTACAGATTATCATCCCCAGGAGGAACACCAGTATTTGGCCACCGCAGCGGACCTCGAAAGCTTCAAGGAAGACGTCATGGCGAGCGTCCGCTCGGCGCTGGTAGAGATTGTGGACATGATTGGTTCTACCGTTGTGCAGCGGGCCGGGGCAGCACCAGTGAACCCCTCCGCCTCCGGTGGCCCAGGGCAAAGGGCTCTCGTCCAGCTCACAGGTTCCGGTAGCGAGTATGCTTGGAGTTCGGCTGATGCGGACCATCCACCGGCACCGACGGATGTCAGCATGAGCCCAGAGCGCTCTGCTTCGCCGAATTTGGGCTCGGAGCAGCAGGAGATTCGGATTACGCGAGCAGAGTTGGAGGCGTTTATGTTTGGCAAGGCAGTGCTGGGCAGAAGTGCTGCGGATGACCTTCTGGGCATGCGGCTACGGGACTTGTATGCGCCGCAGCTACCACAGGTGCGGCACTTAGTAACGGGATAAGGATGAGCGTCTTCTTGGCCTTCTTGGCTGCGGGGTCGTGTTATGGGCTTCTGCCCTCCGTGTCGGTTGATTTCACGAGTCTGCCTATGGCGCGACAGGATCTTTGGCTTTACACCACGACGGACGTAAATAAGTGGCGTCCAGCAGTTGGAGGAGACGGCAGGATCATACTCTAGCTCATTCCTTTGCGTCGTCCTAGCCATAGCTTGATACTTGCATTGGTTTGGACAACCGATGTGCCCCTGTTGTCGCCCCTCGCGTGGTAGTATCCCAGCGGTCACACTTAGGGCGTTCAAAAATTCCTGTAATCTTTTGTCCTGTAATTTTTTGCTCTATAATCTTATGCTGAATCGCCGTTTCCTTATAAACCCAACCCGTTTTATGCGCAGAGACAGGATAAGAGTGACGAAATGGCAGGCATTTACGACTTCACCAGCACGGAACCTACGCCCCTCCTATCACCAGTCCATCGCCGCGGGTCATCACCTTCGAGGTTCGGCGGAGCCCTGGATGCGGGCGAACAGGGCAAGAGGTTGGAGCCAGTCAGTAGTAGCCCGACAGCAGTGCCCCGGGACTCGCCGCTTCGGCAGCCCCTGGCGGACAGCGCCGGTTTCAAGTGAGTCCGCGTCCCCGTTGTGGCGGGGTAGGTTGCTGGCATGGCTTGTGTCGCATTAATGGCGCACCGTACTTCAACGTGCATCCTTGAAGCTAGGGACTCTTGTGGATGTTACTTTGCTAGTCCGAACACCGTACCCTAGGCCGGGTCAAAGCTAAAGCTGTTGAACGCTAGTTAACGATAATGCTAATGCAAGTGACGCGTTATGTCTGGTCTCGAGTGGTGTTGTCCCTGTTCCCTCAAAACCTCCCTGCAGGTCTCTGTTTCGCAGGTCAATTGAACATCTCCGCGATCATCTGCAGCCCGGTCATTCGGATGCACACCGCAGCCCTGCCGTAACAGGTGCTTCAAACGCCCATGGCGTCTCCCAAAGGATTGTCGAATCAAATGGCATCTCCACGCCCGCTGAGGAGCTGTGTTTCCCGTCAAGGTTTCCCGTGGTGCCACCGATTCCTCGCGCGCCTGCCCCGCGGCAAGACGTAGCTGTGGCAAGCGCATGTGCTGGGGCCACTGCTGAACGGGCGCTACCCGACACCTTGGAGGTGACGCTTAGCCCGGCTGGTGTGTCGCCGCAGCTGGCACAACAAATGGCAGCAGCAGCGACCACTGCGGCTGCAGGACCGAGCCACGCAGCTATGTTGATTTCTCGCTCTGTGACCATCGCAAACGATGATGATGTGGAGCTGGAACCGCATCTTTCAGGCGGGATGCGACCGGAGCCTACTACTGACCTTGCCCGCTGGCCCGACCCTGCTGCGCCGGCCGCACAGCCGCCAACGCGGCTCCAGTCGCAGCCTCAGTCCCGCCGCGGCACGGCAGAGTCGGTCCAGGAGGTTCAGGCCATTGGGGATTTCCTGGCGGCGCTCAAGGAGCCAATGATGCAAGTTGTGGGCGTACTGACACAGCCGGGTGGCGGCGCAGCCGGTGGCACCCGGGTCTATCCACGAAATAGCGTTGTGATTGAAGAGGTTACGGATGAGAAGTCGCCGTCGCAGCTACAGCTGCGACCCGAGAGGCCCAGCCGCGTCCCGGGCTTTGCGGCCACCACCTCGGCAAATCACTTGATGCTGGAGGCTGAGCACGAAGGGGGGTTTAACCGAATCAGCAGCGGTAGCGGCCTTGCGCACCGAAGCAGCCCTCGGGTCGCTTCTGAGGCGGACATGTCTCGTGTGCGCCAAATGGCGCAGGAGCGCTCAGCCGTGGCCCTGCCACACCTTTCGCAGGCTCGGCAGCATCAGCACATCTCACGCAGCGCCTCCACGACGCCTGTGCCGCGCGACGTGGCTCTGCGGCCGAGCGCTTCGGTCAACGTTACCGAACGTCCGCCGGCGGCAGCACCAGCAGCCTCTCCAGCGTCCCAGCAATATCCGGAGACACAGGTGCACGTGCAGGCGGTGCCCAGCGGCGCTTCACGCCTTAAGATGTCATCGGCGCCGGGAACTGCCCCGCTTGCAACGGAGGACCGACCCTTATCGAGCTTCGTCTCGCCCTCGGAGGGTGGTGCGGCGCCCTCGCATTCACGCCGGCGCACACACAGTCCGGGCCCTCTGGCACGGCAGGCAGCGCTGCGGGCTGAGGCGTCCAGGGATTCCATTCTGTCAGCGCCAGGCATCCGGACGTCACGCTCTGTGGATGTCATGGCGATTTCGCCTCCAGGAACCAGCCTTGACGAGTTGGAGTCGTTCCTACGCGCATTCAGGACACGCATCGGTACGGATGAGGCCGGCAACGAGCCGGCGTTGGTTTCTGTGCAGCACGCGGTCGCACGCACTGGCTCTGCCGCTACAGAAGCCACTGCCGAGGGGGCGGTGGTGCCTCATCGAAACCCTTTTGAGCGCCACCTAATTCCGGAGCTCGCTGCCGGACATATTGCTGAGGTTCAGGACGTGCGCCGTGACTCCAGTTTGTCAGAGTCTGTGTCCGTCACCACAGCACGGCGCGTCATAAGCGGCTTCAACGTTTTCACCATCCGCGCGTCAGGCGCATCGGCGCTGGCTGCTGCTGCCGCCGTTGAGGAGACTTTCTCTCCTCGGCGAGAACGGGAACTTGCGGCGGCTGCGGCTGCTGCAGCAAGCACTGCAGGCTTTTTGGGGTCTGGTGCTGGGGCGGCGCAACAAGAGCAAATGCGGCCCCTGCAGGATCGCTCGGCCTTCGTTGGCGACAGCCCCAGTGCCGTGGTGCGCACATCCGAGGACGCAGCTAGCAGGCTGTCGGGCCCCACGGACGCCTCTCACGGTAGCTCGTCGACGACCCCGACCAACCCTCTGCTGCGCGAGCACTTGGAACATTTCCAGGTGGGTACTTAAGCAGGGGTTTGGCATGCTTTTTTGCGGGCACCCGTGTGCGTTCTGTCCTGGTAGTATTTTGTGTATTGTGTAGGATGGGCTTGCGCGTTTGTGTTTTTAGTTGTCGTGCTGGCATATAGTGAGGCATCGTCCAGGAGAGCAAACTCGACGCACGGGACCTGAAGCTTTATCCTAACACGCCTTGATGTGTCAGCAAGCTGTGGCATTTTTACTGGCCCGTCATGTTACGACCTCTTGCTTGGCTACCGCCTGCCCTGGTGCACGCCAGCGTGGCCCGTTTAGGAAAGGAAAGGATGGCGCCCCTGCCTACGTGTCCTCCTCATCATGCTGCAGCTTTGGAATGCCTGTTTGAAAACTTTTCCTGTTTGAACGCAGGCCCTCTTGGAGAAGGCCAATGACCTGGTGGACCGGCTTATGCTGGCGGACGAGGACCTCGTCTCAGAGGGCGGTGCAACCGAAGTCGCAACGACGCCCTTGGTCAGCAACACCTCCACCAGCTCAGCACGGCGCCAGCTCAACTACCGTCTCGCGCAACAGCGTTCGGGAAGCGAGGCGGTGACACCTCAGCGCCGGGCGACTACACCGTCGGTGAGAGCTCTAACACCAAACACGCCAGCTGATACTGAAACCGTCTCCGTGTTTGCGATGCCGACGGCATTGCCTACGGCGCCTACCCTCGACCCCGAGTTGGCGGCGCTGTTTCCCGCCACCGCGGCGCGCCTTGCGCGCCCGCATGCCCGTGTCGAGCAGTCGCCGGATGCAGTGAACTCTCTGCTCAGCTCGGCGGTGACGGCTGTGCCGCAGCTGGCCAAGGGTGCAGATCACATCCGTAGCAAGGGCCCCAGTCCGCCCCCGGATTCACCTGTGGGCTCAACAGCCGGCGTACCTGTCGCGCCAAACCAACCAGGCATTCGTGGTTCGGTGCCGGTGCTGCCAACTCCTACCCAGTCTGCGGCGTTGGCCACACCGCTTGCGCTCGTTGCATCGCTGCTGGCGGAGGCGCACTCGCGGATGGAGTTTCAGAGCTTGGAGGAGCAGCGTGGGGCAGACCGCATCTTGAGCGCCGTCCTGGACGAGCACTTTGCGCACGTACTTGGGACCCCGCGTGGCTTCCTGACGCCGCCGCGCGGTTCTCGTATAGCAACATCAGCTGGGGCGGCACCGACAGCGGCAGGTGTCGAGGCAATTACATCGACAGCGGCCCCAACGCAGCTCCAAGACACGCTGCAGCACCAGCTGCCTTCAACCGGCAAAGCGAGCATGAGCGGCGCTTTCAGCCGGACGTTTGCTGCCACTGCCGAGACAGCGGCTGCGGAGGTTGCCAATGTGCATAACCAACGGCCCGCCCCTGCAACCAAAGCACCGCAACCTGTGGCGCAGAAGCAGGCTGTGCTCAAGTCGGAAGATCTTCATACAGTGTCTGAGCGTTCACGCCAGGTATCTTCACAGAGTCTACCGTGCACAGCGGGCGAAGTCGCACAGCGGCAACTGCAGGAGCCGTCATCTCAAGAGCGGCACGAGAAGATGAATCTGTTTCTGTCACAGGTCATGCAGCAGCGTGCCAATATCCTGACCTCAGCCCTCGATCATGTGCATCGTGTGACGGGGCCGCCTCCATCAACTGCCGGGCCACCGGCAGCGCTTCTTCTGGGAGCGCAAGCAGCCGGGATGGCTGCAGAAGCCACGAGGTCCGTCGACCTGTCAGAGCCCTTCTTGACGCCGCTGCCGCCAGCCGACGGCGCTGCCCTCACTGGCGGCGCCTCAGGCACTTGCCTAGACACGCACCTGCCAAGCTCCTCAATTCCGGGCGCCTCTGCCGGCCTTCCGATCATGCCGCAGCCGCTGATGCCTTACCAGGAGCTTGACAGCGAGAGCACGCCCACGTCGTTCACTGCGAGCGTCGCCTGCAGCGGGGTGCATCCAGAGTCGTCGTCCAACTGGGTCCACGGCACCACGAATGCCTTCCTGGTAGACTCAGCCTCTCTGCCATGCCGGGTATCGTCTGTGGTGGCGGCAAGTGACGCTGGGACGACCCGATCCTCCGGTAGTGTCCTGGAGGCGCAGGGCGGCACATCTGACATCGCTGTCCTGCCGGGGCCACATACTATCACCACCAGCACGGTGCCAGAACCTTCAGCGGCCGCGGAAGTACGCGGTGGGTATGATCTATCACACCTCATCGACGACGATGACGGCATACTGTCGGGCGGCCCCAGCACGCTGGCTGTCGCTCCGCACCTCGCGGCGGAATACGATGGGCATAGCGGAAGCAGTGGCAGTGGCGGCGGTGGCGCAAGCACGTTGAAAACCAGCAGCTCCCTGGCTGGCAGCCACGACCACGCACCGGCTGTTCGGGCGGCACCACACGAGACTTCGCTGCGGTATAATCCCGTGTACGATCCGGCAGGCCCTTCGCTGGGTGGTTCCTCAACGGGGACAGCATTTGGTGCGGCGGCGGCGGCGGCCGTCGTTGGCGACCTTAGCAGCAGCTTCAGCGACGGCGGCGGCTTTGCGGCGGCGACGAACGCCATGACCACGCTGCACCATGAGACTGCCTACACACCGCTGGCGGTTGCCGCCGGCGACGCCTCAGAGGGCGGCGCTGCCGGCCTCGAGTCGACTCTCCATTCGCGCCTGCGCAGTGCTGGTGGTACCTCAACGGCGGTACTTGTTCCGAATCCGATGTACGATTTTCCGACAGAGATGGATCGCAGTTCACAGGCCCCGGTTTCGGTCATGGCCGCGGCCGTGAAGGCCAAAGCGGCGCTCACGTCGGACGGCGGGCTGACAGATGTGACAATGTCCCTTGACTTTGAGGAAATTAGTCGCGAGGCGGCGGCTGTGGTGGACACGCTCTCTGCGCACTCTTCAGTTGAGACCGCTTACTCGATGAGTGCTGCTGCCGCCACCGGCACCACACGGGCGGTCCCTGAGCAGTCGGACGCCAACACCCCAGCTCCGGCTAATGCTGTGGCAGTGGTCCCGGGCCCCCAGGCGGCATCTACAGATAGCAACGTGGCCGCTGCAGCACAGCCGGCTCTGACGTCGCCCGTTGCAATTACGCCGGGTCAAAAGAGGCACATGGGCGACATGGTGGCTGCAGCGGTGCGCCGCTTTGAGGCAGGCATGGCGTCAGTCCCGTCGGGGACTTACGAACCTTCTGCAATTACCGTCACCACCACCGCCGACAGCGCTACAGCATCCGCAGAGCTGCCATCCGTGAATGCCATTGAGCTAATACCCTCCGGTTCACACAGCATGAGCGCCGGGCCTTCAGGCGACTGGCAGTCCATCGCGCTGTCTACGGGGAGTGCAGCTGTGCTTGCTGCGCGCCGGGGAACGGGTGCTGGGGTGTCTGTCACGCTCAGTGCCGCGGTGGCATCGGTGCCGATCTCTCTGAATTCGGGAGGTTCGTTGCTGTCGCTTTGCTCAAGCGCTGTGGTCCCAGCGCAGGAGGTCGGCTCGACCGTCCACACTCGGGAGTGGGTCCCTGTGGGCATGTCACAGGAGATTGCGGAACCGGTCCTGGAGAAGCCGTTGAAGAAGGAGCTGGTGGGCATGGCAGAAAACGAAGATCTGCTGGTAGCTGGAGCGCCAGGATGCGAGCTACTACAGGAGCAGCGGGAACAGTCAGCTGCCGCAGGACCCGAACCTCCGGAAAGTCTAGCCACATTCAAGTCGGTGAGGGCGGCGGCGGGCCCCGCTGCAACCACGGGGACCGCCGCTGCCCGACAGTCTGCGAGTCCTGCTCGTGTGGCTCGCCGAGTGGTTGGCACCACTGCAAACAGTGTCCCGGGTTCCACTGGAAGCGGAATTGCGGGTCGTGCGCATAATAATACTGGCACCGTTGCGAGTCGCAAAATGCAGCCGCGAGTGCAAGCAGGCAGCGCATCCCCACGCCCTAACCCAATGCCATCGAGCCCAGCGAGGACGCCCACGCCCAGTAGCACTAGCGCTCACACAGGGTCCCCGGGTGGCAGGCCAGCGGCATCGCCGTCGACAAGCAGCGGCAACAGCAGCACAACGGCTGTGCGTCGGACGACACAGAGCCCTCTGCGCACGTCGTCTGCGTCACGTGGGGGCCGCACTAGCGCGGCGGGAGGCCGACCAGCCGCTAGCGCAACGGGGGCGTCTCAGCAGCAGCAAAGCAGGTGGCGAGGGTGAAGGCAGGAGTGAGGGCGTTACTAAAAAAGGCGAAGAGACAATGCAGGTCTAAGAGGCAATGTGGGCGTCCTGAGCTCATTTTGCCTAGGATAAGGGTTGGGGACGACGCTTAGGTGCGAAGAGACGGGCTCGGCGTAGAGCGATACTTGCTATTGCTGAAATTGGAAAGGGGGGTGCCGGCGAGAGTGAGTTCGTGGAGGCGCTGACAAGTGCTGGTCGGGAAACCCCCGATGATTAGGACTATAATTTGTGGTAGGGCAAGGACGGCGGTGGACCCCGGCGGGAAAGTGCATTTTGGAGTTCCGTGGCAATATATATATAATAGTGTACAGTGCGGATGCGGATGTTTTTGTACTTCTCTACATCGGCTGCAGGCGTGCCAGCCAAGGTGCAGGCCGCCCAACCCGTGCGCAAAGGCGTGGCCGTTCTTGATTGCCGGCTATTTTTATAGACTGCATACGATTAGGTTAACGTGATACGCGAGGCTAAGCAGGGGGACTGATTTCTTACTCAAACAAACGCGTATTGTGGGTCTTAACCGCGATCGGTTGGAGGGCCAGGAGGCTCGCACATTCACAGCTTCACTAGTTAATGCGTAAACCAATGCGCAATTTATCCTTAAGGAAATTGCGGTTCGGATGCTTTAGCCTGTAGCATGGGTTTCAAGGAGATGTGGGAGGCCAACGCTAGCGTGTATGTGTATTCATCGTACTATCTGCATTTTTACTCAGCAAGCATACTTCGTACAGACCATGATTAGATTATGGCGAACGCCCAACGTTACCTCGTCTCCGACATTGACAAAAAATAGCCTGTGGAGGCTTGTGATTCCTTGACCATGAATTTTGCGAGATGCAACCTACCAAGCAGTGAATTTTTGTGTAATTCTACAACCCCCTTTTAACACATGTCGATTAGCTGGACTGCATTACTGTGAGGATACGTTCATACTACCTGATTTTAATATACGCGATGTTACTAACGCCATGCGACCGCGTGGAGGCATAAGCATGTAACGAGGCTCACTGACACGCAGATTTGTACTCCGCCTGATTTGTACTCAGTTTGCTGCCAATCCCCATAAATCGCAGCTGTGCACATCTAAGACAAGTTTGCCATTTTTTGGCGTGCAGGACGAGTCCGCATGACCTTCCACACTCGACCAGTTTTCCACTCGCAGAATGCGAATGGCGACACTGGCCATGTTTTTCCTGGACACTGTCGCCGTTCAGGAGTGCCGGATGCGTATTTCATCCTTTCTAGATATCTACATTTTCCTAGCTGTTATTGCGAGGACGTATAACCGAAAACTTGTTTTATTACTAATTATGCTTCACAGCTTCTTACATGGAACGTAACCCACATGCGTGAAGGCCCCTCCTATGCCAATTGCTTAGCATATGAGGTCCAGGCCTATTCGAGGCGCAGGTAGCAGTTTAGAGAGCCGTGTTTACCGTATCCTAGCATGTAATGGCAACACGCAGACCAGCCGACGACAAGACAAATATGTTGCTACGGAACGTTTGTTACTGTTCTATCTTTATCCGCCACCACTACAAAGACGGCTGCGGAGCAGAAATGTTGGGGACGTACGTCCAAACTGACACATCAAACTTCCCAAAGACGCTGCAAAGCAGCAACACAAACCATTGCTTCACGCATACTGACTTCTACCAAATGAACTGTACTGTAGCCAGATGCCAAAAGGACGCTACTCAGCATGTGGCAATACATGTCCTGGAACGCGTGCTTACGTGCATCCGGCCAGAGCGCGCAAAAGAAATAAAGGCAAACATGGCACTGGCTGTCTGGACCCCAAGTTTGTGGAACTAGCCATTTAAACCCCCATAAGACAATCGGTAGGGGCTGCTAAAACTAATCCAGCGAACATGTGTATTCTGCAGCATGACGCAGGCAACATAGCCCACGGACCCGGGACAGCCAGGTACACTTGGGCTCAAACAAGCAACCTCTCCTGTTTAGTTGGATAAAAGTGCCCCAAGAATAGGACCACGTTCTCGGGCGCTTGTCACAGCAACACCCCGCCTCGCCCAGCGGCCGGGCAACAGCGGCCATGGCAAAGTGGCTGCGACGGCAATTGATGACAAGCCGGAAAACAAACTCCTTGCAATGGCCCAATACAAGTCGCCAACCTAAACTAACAGCTCGAGCAGCAGCAGCAGCAGTGGTTGTACACAATAGACAGCCAGGAAGGCCCAGCTGCGCAGCCAATGCGCCAGGACACCGAACATCCACCTGTACAGCCACCCTGCATCACTCGCCTGTCACAACAACCCAAGCGCACCCAAAGCAGACACCTCGCGCTCGCAAACCTATCCTGTCCCACGTCTGGACTGCAGCGCCCATGTAGCACATATCGACCTTTCCTCGTCCCATCATCCTCTCGTTCCGACGGTCTCATAGAGTCACCATACCGACCTGGCCTGCAATTCCTGCTACGTTCCTGCTATGTTCCTATAGCTTTGGAGGGTAACGCAATTGGAGACGTAACACACATATACGATCACACATACACGCATACACACACACGCACACACACGCACACACGAACAAGTGAGGTGATAACCCAAGCAAAGCAGCTGCACGACCCTGCCTTGGACTAAATCCTGCTTACATATCTAGACAAGGGATCTAGGAAGGTGCACTGGCCGTCGCTGCGTCCTCCCACTTCGAAGTTCAGGATTCGCCGCGACGAGTCCTTGCCCTCGCGTGTGCTGTCCTCGCTCATATTTCCTGCTTCTTACTGCCTCACACACTGCCTCACACACTCGGCGTGCTCCATCGCATCCCATATGCCCTGCTAGGTATCCCGCAGATACTCATGATGACGTGCCCCTCCACCCTGCCGCCAGACTCCCATATCACACACTTCCGAAGTGCGGCAACAAACTTATTATTATTATTATCAGTTGGAATGATTTCGGCCCACAGGTGATGATAACCCAGAGGTACTTACTTGCGCAGCTCCCAAAGCGGCGCCAGCGGCAGACTCCGAAACTGCTGTTGTCGTCTTAAAACACAGGCGGCCTACAATTCTACACGGCTTTTACAGCCGGATTCATGGCGTAATGAAACGCCGGAACACTGCTGCAGCACTGTTTAGCCAGCGCATTACATTACTTCTTGTGTTGCACCACTGCGACGCAACATGATGTCTGCTGCGATCAAAGCATACACACATATAATACACACGTGCGGGCGATCGATCCCGCGCACGATGTACCACGCCGACCCCTGCGACGCATTACCAATCGCCGCCACACCTCTCCCTCCTGTACCTTTATGTTGTTTTAAGCGTCCTCACCCAACTCACTTTTCACTCTCGCTGTTCCTCCCAAGGCAGATCAGCCCCGCAGCGCCCGGCCGTCCATAGAGCCAGCCAGGGGACTGGGGACCAGCGCAGCACCCGCCGGGGCCCTATCCATCTCCACGCCAACCGGCACTGGGATGACCATTGCCGAGCGCGACTGCTGCTGCTGCTGCTGCTGCGACTGGCTGGCGAGGTAGAGGTCGGGCAGGGCCGCGAGAGTACTGCTGAGGCTCAGACTGGAGGCCGAGGAGGTGTCCGGCCCCGATCCAGGCCCTGCGGGGTGCTCGGCTTGCTGCGGGGGGCTGTCGGAGTAGGACCGACGCCCGCGGAGGCGGGCAACGGGGACGAGGGGGGGATGAGGGGGATGAGGGGACGGACCGTGGGGGGCATGAGAGTAGTAGGGTTAGGAGTGCTGGTCCACGTGCTGTGTGGAGGCGTGGGGCGCATAGCTTTGTGTTGGTACAAAAAAGAGATGGATAGGGGGCCCCTCGCCTGTTTGTCTCGATAGCCCTGACAACTGACGATCTCTTGTACTACGGCTGCCGACAACTTCAAACAGACGTGTGTATTGAAAACAGGACGATGAGGCAATAGGAATCCGACCAAAAACCAAATATAAAACCACCAAACAAGATCTAAAAACGATATCATCTAGGTGGTCACTAGCAACGTGTAACCACTTGACCACGAGAATATATTTTTTGTTATCGAGATAAAATGTCATTTATAAAAGTGAACTTGTCTCTCTTCCTCGCCATTATCCGGGGAACACCAGCATCACCACACGAGGCTGCCGCCACAGCCTCCGTCACCTTACCGCCCGCAGACCGCGTCGAGTGCTGCCAGATCACAGAGCCGTTGGCTCCGACTGACCATCACCAACAGCACCACCACCAGCAGCATGGCCCATGGAACAATCAATCTGGGCCGGGCTGGCGGCGGCGGCGGTGTCGGCGGCAAAATCGACCCCGTCACCGCCGTCGGCGACCTCCGGCCCCTCCTCATCCTCATCCTCATCCCCGCACCTGCGAAAGCTCCGTCCGCCGCTGCGGCGGCCCTTGGTCACGCTGAACCGGCTGGGCGATACCAGGGGGTCGCATGCGGACACCAGACCGCCCGTAGGGGAGCCGTGGACGGCGGGCAGAGGCGGCAGAGCGTCCGCGGGGGAGGGAGTGCCGCCGTCCGCATCGCGACCGTCCTCGTTCGAGCCGGAGGCGCTGCCGTCGCCGGAGGCGGCGGCGGCGCGTGGCTGTGAAGGCGGCGGCGGCGGCGGCGGCGCCATGCCAGGGTTAGCCAGCGGCGGAAGCGAGGACGGCTGCGCAGTTGATGCGGAATGCAACAGATTCGTGGTAGTGTTCGCCCACACGGATAACGCATTGATGTTATTGACTACAATTTTTCGAACCCAGCAAGCGGTAGCCATGAAAAATGGCTTTATGTGCCCATGTCCAGAATTTCAAAGATTCCATCTTAGGAGGCCTTTATTTATTTAATGTGTTTCTGATGTGTCAATACAAAACGCCCAGCTACCTGTTCGGACCCATGGGTCGCTGTCTTAACAGGTCGCTTAGGAGTGCGGTTCGCCAGGGCCCGCTCCGCTGCCGCCAGAGCTACCTCCTCCCCGGCGCTGTGGGCCAGGTCGTCGTCGTCGTCGTCATTGTTATTGTTGTTGAGGTGGCTGCTGCGGCTGCCGGGGCGAGGAGTGGAACCTGCGACGGAGGCGGGAGAGGGCGCCGGAGCGCCACCGCCGCCGCCGCCGCTGCCGCCGCCGCCGCTGCCGCCGTGGACGCCGGATCCTGGGCCGCCGTTCGCCGTCTGTCCTAGCGGCGTCGACGGAAGACCTCCCGCCGCCACAGTTGCAGCGGCACCGCCAGCGCCTGCAGCCAGCCCCGTATATTCGTCCGGACGTTCAGTCCCCTGACGACAAGCCTAACGGCGTTGCTAAACTCACAAAACATTTCCACCTCTCCTACAACACCAGCACCAGCACCAGCACCAGCACCAGCACCAGCACCAGCACCAGCACCAGCACCAGCACCAGCACCAGCACCAGCACCAGCACCAGCACCAGCACCAGCACCAGCACCAGCACCAGCACCAGCACCAGCACCAGCACCAGCACCAGCACCAGCACCAGTAGTACCAGTACCAGTACCGCGCAGTACTTGCCCTCCGACAGCCCGCCTAACCCACTCCAGCACACTCACCTCCATTCAAGCGCGGACCGCCACCGCCAATAACGTGGTGCCCCATCACCGCACCACCACCACCACCACCAGCAGGATGATGATGATGATGTTGATGATGATGATGGCCTCCCATTCCGTGCGGCGGCGCGGCCCCCACACCGCCGCCGCCCCCACCCATCAGCCCAGCTGTGTTGGGATCACGCGCCATGAAGGGCGCGGCCCAGGGCTGCGCCAGCGGGTTCAGCCGGGACGGACTTGGCGGCGGCAGCGACATGGTGCTGGCGCCGCCGGCGCTGCCAGAGGACGCACCGCGGCCGCTGCCGGCGCTGTGGCCCCCGCTACGCGTAGGAGAGCCTGCTTCATGATGTGAGAAGAGGGAATAACCACACCACACCATGTACCGCAGCGAGGAGGACGAGAGGTAGGCGAGGGGGGTAAAGCTCTGTGCGCTTATTGTGAGAGTGCGAGTGTGTGTTGAGCTACGTGTGGCAACACCGTCAACTTGTTGTGTAGCTGATGTCTCTTGCGCTATTACATACATACATAGGCAGGCGGCTGGCAGAGGTTAAGGCCTGACTTCTGCTCCCGGCCGACCTGGGTTCAAGTTCGCCTGCCGGCTTCTCGGGTGTTTGAGGAATGTTAAAATGGGAGGTGGCCCCCCATCACATGGACGATGTAGGACGTGAAAAAATCAACTTGCGAGCTGACCAGGAACTAAGTTGAGGCGCCGTTGATCCGCTAGATTTGGTTGGATGCTGGTGGTGAGTTGCCGAACCCAACAAATACATTCTGAAGTCAGATGGGGTGACGGATTAGGGTGCCCCTCTAGCAGGGGAGAGCAGGGACTGCCCCGGGAAAGGGGGCCGCTGGCGAAGTTAACCACCCTGTAACAACATACATACATACATAGGCATATGCATATCTATGCCTTGTTTCTGGTAAAAACAAGAACTGACCGCTCCACCAACCGCCTAACATGGCAGGTTCTCCTTTCAGCCGATGTTCTCGGCTTGCTGTGCCCCCTGTGCCCACCATCACCTGACACGGCCCCACTGGTGCTCGGAGAGAGGGGGGCGCCCGGGAGGGGGGCGCCGTAGTAGAAGCCGGGCAGACCTCGAGGGGGAGGACGAGGAGGAGGAGGAGGAGGAGGAAGAAGGGGGGAAATGACGAACCACCGCAGGAGAGAGGGGGGAAGGGGGAGAGGTAAACACAACGTGCAACAAGGGGGGAAAGGGGCATTCGTAATACACAAAGCCCAACACTGCTCTGCTCGCTAGCGCCTCCGCCCTCCCCCTTCCCTCCCCCCCTTCCCCATCCCTAGCAAGCAAGCACCGGAGGTAACCCCCTCCCACAGCAGTGGCGATAGACCACCACCTCCTCGCGCCGACCCCCCCCACACAAAAACACAATGCAATGTGGACAACCACCACCATCATCACCACCACCACCACCACCACCAGCTCACGCTGGTTTGCCCTTACCAGTGATGAAGCCGCCCGGCTGGGCCGCCACCATACCGGCCATGAACGCCGTCTGCGGATGAGAGGGCGGGAGACGGCGGGAGCGGGCGGGAGAGGGCAGGAGAGGCATCGCTGCGGTGGTGGTGGTGACCTCCTTTCCCCCCCCCCCACCACCACACACGGAGCGCCGCAGTGAAACCCGCGCGGCCCGCAACAGTCAGCGAGAACAGTCATCAGTTCTCCAGCAGCAAATAGTTCTCCAGCAGAGCAGCAGCAGCAGCCGCACCCACCTGCAGATCCATGGGGGCGTATCCCGCCGTCGCACCGACCCCCACACCGCCCCCCAGCGCCGCAACGTCCAGGGGCATAAGGCCTCCGGGGGCTAGGAACCTGAGCTCGGGAGGCCCGGTGACAAGTGGCGAGGAGGAAACATGATCTTCAGCGTCCAATTATTGGGAGGGTGAGTGGAAATAGTGACGGACATGTTTGCTCGGGCTCGGACTCGGGCTGTCCGTTCTTTCGAGATGAGAAAAGAATCGAATCGAATCCTTAAAGAAAAAGGAAGGAGAGGAGGAAAAAATAGTTTCCCTGCTCTCCCGTTCTAATTTTCCCCCTATAGGGAAGGGGGGAGGGAGGCGCGAGGGGCAGATAGAGAGCGAGACAGGTTAATACGAACAGACAGACAGACAGACAGACAGGCAGAACCAATACTTTTGAGAAACACCGACCTGCTACCGATCCGCGTGACCCACTCACCCTCCGGTCTTCATCATGTAATCGGTCAACGCAGACATATCAGTCCCCGGCGGCAAGCTGAGGGTCGAGGGAATCAGCGCCATCGGCGGACTGCCCGGCGGCAGCGGCAGCGGCGGCATCCCCAGCGCCGGATCCAGCGGCGCCATCGGACCCATGGGTCCCATCGGCATGTACGACATCATACTGACGCCGGCGGCGGCGCCGCCGCCAGAGCAGTTGAGGCTGGCGCCGCCGCTGCTGTAGCCGCCTCCGCCGCCGGATGATGACGACGCACCGCCCTTGGAGGTGGTAGCGCCGCCGGTGCTGGTGCCGGTGGTGAAGGAAGCGCCGCTGGCAGTGCCGGCAGCGCTACCGCCACCGCCGCCGCCGCCGCCGCTGCTTGTCATGCGGTTGACATACAGCGGCGGGGAGCCCCCGGGTGCACTGCTCGGGTCGTACCCTGAACCGGCAGTGCGTAATGTTGTAACGTTGATATTAATAATATTATTAGGTGATACGTTACTTATTGGCTTTTGACCTTTTCACCTGTTGGCAGAGCAGAGCAGAGCATAGAGCAGAGCACAGAGCAGGGGTCGTAAACTCCCCTCCTCGGGGGGGTGGGGGGTAAATCATAAAAACCGCCAGGAGTGGGGACAAAGAGTAACAGCAGCAGCAGCTGCAGTCGCGCCGGTCCGAATCCTTCCGTACACACAGTACACAGCAGTTACCGGTCGTTTAACAGAATAGGGAGGGACCTTACAGTATCGTATCCTCTTTCGCTCCTTCAGAACACACCTCGCGGTATGCCGTACGGCGCAAACGCCAGGTGGTCCAAGTGGCCACCGCGGCCCGGAGACGGCGGCATCGCAGGCGCCATTATGTACGGCGTAGCGCCGTACGATTCGGGCGCCATCGGGATGTAACCAGCGGAGGGATGGTAGCTGCCCAGGCTGCCGTACCCTCCGGCGCCGCCACCGCTGACGCCGCTGCCTCCGCCGCCAGGCGGCGAGTAGCTGTAATCGTCACGGCTTGTCCTGTGGATGCGTGCCCGGCAAGAGCACAACTTAAAAGAGCATACATATCTACATACATATCTACATACATATCTACATACATATCTACATACATATCTACATACATATCTACATACATATCTACATACATATCTACATACATATCTACATACATATCTACATACATATCTACATACATATCTACATACATATCTACATACATATCTACATACATATCTACACATACATGACTAGGGAATGTAAGTAAACCGGCCGACATGGATCATTCATCGACCAACTAAATATCTGATAAACACATCAACCAACACACACCAGCATGCGTGGTAACTCGGCTCCGCCACCCCCTAGCCCTAGCCCGGCCCGTCCACATCCCGTGGACCCATCACACCCATCCTGCGACATCACATGACAACTGTGTCGTCACGCGACGACTTCCTACCTCCCCAAGTACCCCTCTGTCGCCCATGTCGCGGCTTTCCCTTCGCCTCCCCCCCTTCCGCCAGTCCCCTCCTCCGCCTCCTGCTACTACTGCTACTCCTCCTGCTACTACTACTACTACTGCCAAGAGGTACAGGAGGCGCAAGACTCCTAAGAACCCCAACCCCATCCCGGGGGTAGAAGAACCAACTCCTCCAAAAACACAAACCGAATTGCAAAACTTTACCCTCTTGCCGCCCCCCCCCCCCCCACACACACACGCACACGAACATCGATCACAGGCTGACCGGGGGGCTCACCGGGCATTGCCGCCACCGTGGCCGCCACCTCCCCGCTCCTGCTGCCCTTTGAGAGCCGCCGCGCAGGGTACGACAGACCGGGGCGGCGGCTGGTAGCAGAAGTCCACGCCCAGCACGCGCTGCTGCCGGGCCACAGCTTGGCCCTGATAACGGCCCTCGCAAAGGTCCTTGTAACGGTCAACTGCTGCAACGATAACGTTAACCGCCTGAAGGACCTGCGCTTCCTCGCCGTCCACGACGACCATACGGCACGGTCGCCGGGAGCCGCCGCCGCCGCCGCCGCCGGGTGTTGCCGCCAGGAGCTGCTGTGCCGTACGATTCTCGGTCCAGCTTTTGATGTCCGCCCCCGTGACGCGCATGATCTCGCGGACGCTGCTGCCGCTGGGGCCTGTATGTACGTAAGCATGTACGTATGTATGTACGTATGTACGTTATGTATGTACGTTACCCAGATAGAGCCCGGTGTAAAAAAGGAGCCAGGGGCCCAAACGAGCCGAGAAGCCACAAGCTGGGCATCGGCTCGTACTGGCCAGTTTGCAGGTGTACGGTGTACGGCCCCCACGACCATCTATACACACACAAGCTAGATAAGCAGTAGTGCAGTAACACACACATCGGCAGCGACACTCATCTCACCAATAACGAAGCCCGCTGCGAGAAGGGTAATGCGAAGGATCATCCTGCGGGGTATAGGGTAATGGTGGCGGTGGTTATGGTGGTGGTTATGGTGGCGGTTGTGGCGGTTGTGGTTATGGTGGTGGCGATTGTGGTGGCGGTGATGTTAGTTCGTCAGCACGGGAACAAAGCCACAATCACATAGCACCCACATCCGCACATCCGCACACAACTGTTGTTGTTGTTGTTGTGTTGGGCCGCGAAAAAACGTTTCCATAGCGGTTATGGATGTGGCAGTTATGGACCAGTCACGGATTGGTAGTGGGATTTCAGTGGGATATCCGGGAGCCCCTAGGGCCCCGGGGGGCCGTGCGAGGATGTGAGTGCCAGTGGGGGCCAGGGGGATATAGCCCCCGTGGGCTAAAACAAGGGGGACGGGATAACCCCCCTGGAGTCCGCACATATATCGCGGAATGGTACGGCGGGACTTCTTGAAAAAGATCTCTTGCCTTGCCGTAAATAGTAAAGAACGGCGTTAGACAACATCTACGGGGCTGTCACACATACATACATACATACATTGTCACGGTAGGTGCCGATTGTCACATCTGGCGGGTCAAAGGCTCAAGAGTATTAACAGTCAATAACAGCCGTGTTATCGAGGTCGTACGATATTATCAGGAATGGGCTTTATTCCCCTATAGCAGGTGCCACTGCTAATACCACTACTACTACTTTTCGTCAATTGAAAATCGCCGACCTGCAAACAGAGAGACGCACAGGTCGTCAACCCAACCCAACCCGCCAACACCCCCCAACCCCAACACACATCCCCCCCAACACCCACCCTTGGGGGGTCTTCTCCGCGCTGACGATACCCTGCTCCTCGTTCTCAACACCCTCGCCCGGCCGCCGAGGACCTGAGGGGGGCGCCGGCTTGGTTTTGGGGTTATTGAACTATATTGCACATTTGTTTCAGCTGGGTGACCACGCGTGTGTGTGTGTGTGTAAGAGGTGTGAGATGCACGGATGAGATTGCGGCGGAGAGTGTTACTCGGGGTGTTGGGAAATTAATTAGTTGGGAGCTGGTTAGTTGGGGGTTCGGTTAGTTGCAAGGTGGTTAGTAAGGGAGGTTAGTGTAGTGGTGTACTACGAGGGAGGGCGGCAGAGGAGGCTCCTCGGGGGGGGGGGGCTCTCCTTGCCCTGGTTCTTCCTCCGCAGATTGCTATATTGCTGGAATACTCCGAGATCCGTGTGCTGCCGCTTCGTTTTTGGTTCATCACATGCGACAATGTATGTTCAACAAGAGAGAGACCGTCGTGCAGTAGGGGGGGGGCCCAGCATGGCGGAGGGTAGGACGCACGGCCACACGAGCACGCACTCTTTGAAATGAAAAGGCCTAAACAAAAAGGCCTAAACAAACTACCTACAAGGTCTGTACATCAAAGTGCCGTACCATACAGATGCCGTAGCCGTACGGCAAACACTCACCGCTGGGCTGGACCCATTTTGGATCGCGCTCGTGGGGATGGTGGTGCGCGTTGCCACCGCGGCCGTGCAGTCCGCGACCCCCTCCGCCGTGCGCGTCCGCCGCCGCGGCAGCTAAGGCGTACACAGGGCGGTTACCGGCCAGCTTGTGGTGGTTAATGAAATCGACCATGTGGGTCAGACTGCTCGGGTTGGCGTCGCCGCCAGCGTCCGTACCTGGCTCCGAAGCCGGTGCGCCGCCGCCGCTGCTGCCGCCGCCGCCGCCGCCGCCACCGCCCTGGGTGTAGCTGGCGGCGCTGTGGCGGCGCTCCCGGTGCGAGGGCAGCCCGCCAGGACCGTGTTCGTTGCCGTACGAATATCCATCATGTGTGTCACGATTTACATTAATAGAAGGTGGACGTGGTGGCCGCGGCTCTACTGATGACGGCGCGCTGTGCGATTGGGGCGCGGTGGGGTCGTAGACGCCGCCGCCGCTGCCGCCGGCACCCGCATGCAGAGCGTGGTGGTTTCCTGACTGAGATTGGTTGATGGAATACTGAACTGCTGCTGCTGCGTTTTGTTGTTGTTGCTGCTGCAGCTGGTGCTGCTGCTGATTTGCAGAAGCGCCGGACAGGCGCGCTGCTGCAGCTGCGGCGTGAGCCGCGGCCGCGGCAGCCGCTGCGGTGGACGGCAGGAAGGCTGGCGCGTTCACGTCCAGAGTCGGGGACTCAGGCCGAGATCTGTTTTTTTGGGTAGTTCAAATGATTCAGGGTGTGGAGCGATTGTTAATGGAAAGATCGGATAAGTAGATTAAGAAAAAAAAGTAGGCAAGCGGGAAAAATCAAAACGAGGTAGAAAGCCGGCATGTAAAAGCACACAGGTTGTCAGGCGAATACATTTTTGACGCGGCGAAAAAATGCTTCCAGCAGAGCGCGGCATGCGAACCAACGCGAGCATGCCCCGGAAATTGGGAGGGAAAAGAGCCATCGGAAGACGAAGAAGAAGAAGACGAAGAAGACCGGACAAGCTTGTGCGGCGTCCGAGACCAGACAAACTTTCCCGCTTTATCAAGATGCGGTCTGTCACATGGGACAAACTGGACTCTTCTGCTACGTGTGTTGGCCGAGAAGTCGGCAGGAAAAGTCGCGGCGAGAGCCTCTTAAACCCAACTGGGAAAGCGCTGAACCCAACCTGCAGCCGCGCTGGAATGGAAAGCTGCCCAGAGCGGCTGAAAGCCTAAGGCAGAGAAGGTCTCGTTCTTTGATGTTTTGAACTGTCGCGTACCTTCCAGCCTGCGTGCCGGGCGGGATACCCTGCGCGGCGCCGGACTGCTGCCCAAAAGATGGCGGTGGCGGCGCCGACATAGCCTCGCTGACTCGCTGTGGATGGAGCGTGAGGGTATAAAGGATAATCCCCTTGGGATCAACGTGCCTGCTGCTGCGGGCGTTGCAGAAGATGGCTCGCGAAAGTCCTGCAGCGTAGGTGTGGAAGCAAAAAGCGCCACTTTTATTTCCTCATTTTGCACAGCGGCGGCCACCGTTGCAGCCAAACTATCATGCGCGTTGACAGACTTACGATTAAAGGTGATAGAAGAACAAAACAAGCTCCGTCACGGCAACAAGGTCTGCCGCCAACCCAACGTTTGAGACAACCTGGCCCCCAGTTCAACGCAAAGGGGAACAGCAATGGGATAGAGCTGCACGTGTGCGTTTGGCCAAGCAACTTCGGCAACAAAAGCACAGCTTCACAAATCCCACCTCTTGGGGACGGCGGTACTTGATCTCGATCGAATTATTGCGTTGCGTCCGAGGCCGCGACCCCCGGGCCTTTGGAACGAGTGCTTCGAAAGGTGAGCTGTTTGACTTTACCAACCACAACCATACCAATTTTATATGACGCTTCCAGCTTTTTCTATGTCTCGCTTCTTGCCAGCGAGACTTTCTCCCGCGCAAGGAATACGGCAATTCGGCAGGAGACCAAAACACAAAACACATGCAAATGCTTTCTGCTGCATTTCGTTAGCGTTTACATAATTTGCACGCCATGGCTTCGTCTCTTCTTCGCCCACAATTTGTTGCCTGCCCTGTTCGCAGCTGCAGGATTGTGCCATTTGGCTCGGCTGGACAGCTTCGTAAAGTAGCATCCCTTGCATCCAATCGGCAAAATGTAGCAGCCGATGAATTGAGGGAAGGCTCCGTTCCAGACGTCCTAGGGAAGTTCAGCATGCCTGCTCTTGCCACGCTTGCCAGCCTTGTTTTGGCTGAGGCGCCTGCATCGGCAGAAGCTTTGATTTCCTCAAATCCATTCGCTGGCGTTCAGGCAAATAGCTTGTATGTGACGCTAGCGCTGTTCCTCATGAGTGTTCCAGGTTTGTCCGTTCCCCAAACTACTTTTTCTGCTGTCCGGCCTGCCTGCCGATGATGACCCAATTGCAATGTAACAACTGGGTAATTATACAGGCATCTGGTCGCTCGTCAAGCGTGCACCACAGGCCGCCAAAAAGCGCTTGACGTTTGAGGTCCCTGGGCCAGCCGTTGAGGGCGCTATGCCGCTTGACGACCGTGCTCGGCAAATCTTCCGCTACTTTAAGCGGTACAATTACTCGGTGAAGGAGACGGGAGAGGTCATTACTTTCGAGGGCGTCTACGCAGCGGACAAGGGACAAGCGGCGGCTCTGGTTTTCTACACTTTCTGCGGTGAGGCCCCACTGGAGGGCGGGGGTGGGGTTACCTCTGGACTGGGTACCTCTGGATGTCCCCCCATCCCTGAGTCACTCGAGCTTGACGTTTGGGGGCGACGGTGGGAAGGTGGCTTCGTGGCCGCCGTGTTTCGTTCCCTATCACACAAGCTTGTATCACATGCCGACCATGTTGACGACACCCGTGCGCAAACCCTGTCCTGTTGCCTCCCTACCTCCCCACTCTACAGCGATGGCGAGCGTAGCGCTTGTGCTTTCCATTTTGGTGCCCGCGGTCGGTAACTGGTGGTACGCCCTGACGGCGGTATCGCCCGCGGCCTACACCTACTACATGCAGAAGGGTACCCGGCCTGAGCAGGTGGGTGTGAAGCACGCGGCTCTCGATGACGATGCGCAGCTCATTATATTGGGTTGTTGTATCTGGTCTGAGGGGAACAAGGTCCCCCTTCTTCCCTTGCCGTCCAGAGGATTGCTCGACATCGGTCAAAGCCTCCCTGCCCGGCGACGTGTGGGCGTGTGGGGCTAACATGTACTGTCTGTCTGTGCGGCCTCGGGGACATCACTGGGGCTGTCCTTCTTCTTCTTCTTTGCTGACCCTCCAAACGGAAACATCCGTATTCTTTTAGTGTCGTGTAGGCCGTGCAAACCAGTGCTGCTTGATTTGAGCAACGATTTCTGCTGGAAAATGCAGTAGTTGAGTCGCCCAGCTGTGAATTGTCGCGTTTGGATGGCTAAAGTATGGTCTATTGTGTGCCGATATTACAATTGTCTAATCGTGTTCTGTCCGTCCGCCCCGAAGAATACATCCTTGTGCGATCCTTCACCTGGCACCCTTCGTCTGCCGCGCTGCAGTTTAAGGTGAAGATGGTAACCGCCGACGATGAGAAGACGACGGATATAATAGTGGAGGGTGACAAGGAAGAGATTGAACGATTCTGGAAGGTGCGGTAGGGGTGTGAGGGGGGGGCTTAAGGAACTGTTTTAAGTCAGGCTCCTCTATATTTGCGGGGGACAGACCCCGATCGCAAAATGATGTAATGGATGGTGTGGGCTACCGATGTGGGCTTCGTTGTGTGCGTGCTTTGTACACCTTAGCAAACCCAACGCATATGCCTTTGACCGTGTGACTGGAAAATGTTGGGTGGTATATTATTCTTGATATCTAGGGATGTTGGAGAAAGCTTGCCTGTGCCACGAATGTGCTTGACCTTATGCAGGAGCTTGGACTAGTGGAGAAGGGGAAGGTGTACGTTAAGGGTATGCTGGAGGCTTGAAGAACGCCGACATCCCGACGGAGTTGAGAGCCATGCGCGTTTGGACCACGACGTCGGATAATGAGGGATTGCAGAGGCTTATCTTGCGAAAGGCCAATCCTTTGGGAAGCGATGCCGGAGAGTGTTGGGTGTCGTACATCATTTTTGGCTTTTGAGGACGTCGAAGAGAGAATGTTGTGAATATGAGCGGCAGCGTGCGTTAGAGACATCGGGGCTAGATTTTGACGATTTTGAGTGAGCACGTTGGATGAGTGTGAGAAATGTAGCCTCAAGAGGCGAATTTACCGCTAATTACGCGGTTTCGCGGTACCACTGAATGGAGGACACAGATTGCTGAATTCAAAATTAATAATCACTGGATTTCGTATGTGCAGTATGTCTAAATCGGCAAACATATTATGAGGGCTGCACTGCTTGCAAGGCCTTTTTGTAGATTTGCTGGGCGTCCAAGAGGTTCGCTTACCAATGTTGCCGCGCAAGCCTACACGTATAGAACTCAAGCCAGCAGACAAAGAGGAGGTCAGCTGAGACATGACGGAGATGGATGTTTTCGGAGGGTGTGGATGCTGATGCTAGGCTTTTGCATGCAGTACGAGCATCTGAAAGCCTTATTGGAGGAGCGCAAATTAGCAGCCCAGCAGGACGCAGTTTTCTCCGATCCTTTGCAGGTGCGGAATTGCGTGTGTGCGCCAGAGGCACCTGTGTCCGAGAGGCATTCCGGACGGTTGAGATACATGTCTGAAATGCTAATGAAACGTGAAGCTTATATCGCTGGCCCGGTCACGTCGTTGAGCATCTCGCTCGACAGACAGCTCGCTCGCACCTGAAATTTGCACGTATATATCCATATCGCACCCAAAGAGGATCATGATAAGGTCGTTCGTTGAACGCTTGAAACCACCGAAAGCCGTCATGCTCAAGGATGTTTTTCGCCTCTCGCCTTCACCGTCCATGCAACGCCAGGCGGACAAGCGGTCAACCGCGGCACGGATAGGTCTCCAGCGGAGGTGAAGCCCATGGAGGTGCGTTATGGGTTACGCAAACGGGAGAGTGAATGCGCTTAGACTTCCGCCCAAAGGCAGGTCGCTACCCAGGCTGGGTTTGTGTTAGGCAAAATGCGCAGCCGAGGGCGGCGGCGATCCGCTGTAACCAGCAGCCTCTAAGGAACAGTGCCACGAAGCGTAGCTGCACGCGCTCTTTCGACTAAATAACGTCGCTGAGCTTTACACGCTCAAATCCGCCCTGGACGAAGGGTTCACCTCCACTTCGTGACGAAGGGTTTACCTCCACTTCGTGCTAAGGACAAGGTAACGGCGCAACCGAGCTTTGCGTTCATGGATAGCAAAGGTTGTGACAACGCACGCTAACGGATAGCGGCACCGGGCAGCTGCAATGAAGGCCCTGACCTTGTCGCGGAGGGGGCGCCAGTATGGGGACTTTAGGCTGGGGGAAGTCCCGGGATGTGGGTAGGAGGTGTTTGGTGGGGTGCGGGATCTGGCGCTCAACTAGCGGCCGGGCGGTCCCTCCGTCAGCAGCCCGTGTCCCGTGTCAGAACGTCCGCGTTGCGGCCCAAGCCCCCATTCCTTCAGGAGAATGTCAGGCTGATTGTATGCTGGTTGTTGCTTTATATGCAAGCTCTTACGCAACTTAAATCCCGGACCCTGCTTTACGAACTGTTAAGCCCATAGCCCGAGATTCCATGACTGATGGAAACCATCTCCTAATTTTGTAATAAACGCAGGTCGAGATCAAGATCCGGCTGCCGGATCGCGCGGCGTACGACAATGTTGCTGCAGCGTTGGGGAAGGAACAGGGTCGCACGGCAAGCCACATGCAGGCCAATTACTTTTTCGACGGACCTGATCGGGAGCTCAACTCGCGGCGGGTGGTGCTGCGACTGCGAACCTACAACGGCACCGAGAAGGCGACCATCACGCTGAAGGTGCACCGGGAGCCCTCGGGGGGGACGCCGATCGATCATCGGTGCCACGGTGTCACATGTTGGTGATACTGCTGCAACTTAGAATGCGGCTTTGTTGACACTGCGCCCTTCGTGTCGAGTACGAGACGTACAGCGTCATGCATTGCGAATGACTCTTGGCACCTGCTAGGATGCGGCGCGTTGAAGGGCGTGGGGGTGGGGGGAGAATGACTGAAGTGAAACTCAGGTGCCCTGGTTGTTTGAGCTTAACCTCCTGCCCGCTTGGCTCTTCAGCTGGACCGGGTCCTGTCAGAGCCAAGGGAACACGAGTACAGGTTAACAGCTGGGTACGGAACCCAAACTGACAACCGAAAACCGTACTAACTGTACCTACCAAGTAACCTTCCTGGTTCACCAACAACGACCCGTATCGGACCGCCATGCAGGGCAAGCAGATCCTGGAAAACGGCATCGGTCGGGCTTCCGAGGTGGAGGAGGCGGTGGACCCGGCTGCGGCTGCCCGCTACCTGGCGGAACCTGACACCATGCTGGCGGAGGTACCGCTCATCAAAACCACCGCCGAGTGAGTAGTGGCCCTTTCGCTTGCTTTGGAGGAGGGGGCGAGGTGGTGCTGGTGGTGGTGATATATATACATACATGGTGGTGGTGTGTGTACATACATACATACATTATTAGATGTTGTTGGTGATGTATTATATCCTATATATTCTATATGTATTGTATTCTAAAAATTCTCTCTATATATATAGAAGGGTGGGGTTAAGGAGGGCATGTATGTGGAAAGGAAGAAATTATGGGACGCGTGTATGACGAAATATAGGAGGGGGTTAAGGGGTAAGATGAATGGAACACACACGAGGACCGGAGGCGGGACGGTAGCTGGTGTGCGGGGCAGATGAGCAAGGGACAGATATGCTGTGTTGAGAGAGCTGTGCGGGGTAGCACTGTGATTGCTGGAAGTGGTAGCATTAAATACTGAGTGGTAGCAGGCCCCCTTCCTACAGGGGGCGGGAAACAACTGTCAACTGGGGGGAATGCTGGAGATGGGAAGTAGGAGGCTGCCTAGGGACGATGGCGATTGAGGTCTTGAAGCTCGGGTAGTGTGCTGCAGCCGTTGATTTTCCGAGTTAAAAAAATTGGAGTCCTACCATGCTTTGTGCCATACGGTGTTTTTCCTTCGGTGCTGAAGCCACCGGCCCATCCCATCCCATCCCGCACCCATGCATCATCAGGAAATTCGGGCTGACATCGTTGGTGTGCCTTGGCGGGTTCCGAAACCAGCGCGACTGTTACTCTTGGGAGGGACACACCCTGGAGCTGGACGAGACGGACTTTGAGCACGGCACTCTTTACGAGATTGAGTGCGAAACGGTGCGAACCATGCCGTACCACGAGCACCCGTCAGCAAAGGAGGTGCTCAGCTGTGTTTACTTTTGCAGCTCTTTCTAGCTATCTGTCCAGACAACGCCCGACATTTTACTCTGGCATGTTACTCTGAATTTTCCAACGTCTCGGCCCATGCTAGGCGTTCAGGGAAGCCTAGGCAGCTATGACGGGGTGACTATGGCGCCTATATCAGGTCGATTCGTTAAATTAGCTGAGATCCGTTCGCTTCCCTCCTCCTCGACTGAAGTACTTTCTCGCCGTAGTTGTGTAGGTCTGCAGTTTGTGTAACAGCACCACCACGCTATCCTTTCCTTCCCCCTCCTACGCTCTGTACGGCACCCGCAGGAGCACCCGGAGGCCCTCCGCGACAAGCTTGAATCCTTCCTGGCCTCATTGGGAGTGTCATACTCGTACTCCCAAACGTCCAAGTTTGCCAATTTCATCAACAAGACGCTGCTTTAGGGTTTTAGGGACTTAGGCCTAGACGGGGCTGCTGGCGTAGAGCTAGAGCTGGCATAGACGCGCTGTGGTGGAGCTGGTGGAGTTGCTGCCCCACACGTCTTGCGTACATGATCGCGTTCACCTGGTGCAAGTGGATGCACTTGATGCGAGATAGATACTCCTGCCGTTGTGGCAGCCCAGTGACCTAGTGCCTCCTTAATGTAGGCATCCACAGTAGTTGTCTGTGCTTCCCCCTCTCTTGCCACCGTGTACGTGCGCGAAAGTGGCCAAGATGGCAGTGTATCTTGTCGCGCAACAGGTTGAACCCAGAGGCTGAAGGCCCGTTCTATCAGCTTTGAGGTCAGATGTCGTCCGGGAGGGGAGATGGGAGAGGAGGGCAGGGCGGAGAGCGGGTGGCGGGAGAGGAGGAGGGTAGGATGTAGGATGGTACCATTGGCGAGAGAGACGGTGGGAAACACGACACGTGCACGTGATTATTTATTCATATACGCACATCCCCAGCGGCCGCAAATAGGCGGGTAACGGGCGGTGTGGAGGCGGCGGGCGGTCATAATGATGATTGCACCTAGGGAGGAAAGTAATATTAAGCGGGAAAACGGAGGAAAATGAGTCGACAATCCGTACACACATCCATCCGTACACCAACCCACCTGCAGCACGCCCAGGTTAGCAACCTGGTCCTCCGGAGCGGGGTGGGTCACCACCGTGACGACAGCACGCTGTACATGTACGGCGTGCGTAAACGGTGGACAATATTTTACAATCATCGTGCAGGATGCACGGGGCTGGGTCCGTCTTTTGTTAAGTTTTGATTTCTACAGGTCAAGACAAACTGATGTGTCATCAATTCGCGGCGACAAGGGGTCGTCTGACGGCAGCACGGTGGTAAGGCACGGACCATTGCCCCCGGGAAATCCCGGGATCGAGATTTTTCAGGGTCGAAAATCCTCCGATGGTGGAAGGTATAGTGCCCCTAGTCGATGGATGGTGGTAACCTGGGATAAAGTTAACCTGCGAGCCAACCAGGAATGGAGCTTGGGCCGCCGTCGATCCAGCAGATTCCGTTGGATGCCGGTGGTGGGTGCGCAACCTGAGCGATCCAGTGAGTTGTTGACTAGGGTGACTGGATGAGGGCAGTGATTTTTTTTTCATTTAGGGGGGGTCTCAATTTATTCCAACCTAAGTAACAAAGTTGCTAGCGTCGCCGTTATGTATTCCTTAAGAGTGGGGCGCTGGG